TTCGCCAAGGTCAATAATTTCTTAATGATTAATAACAATATTTCTATACCTTTTCTTAGCCATGATAAAATTTCTAAATGAAAAAACAAATAGTTACTTTCTTTGTTTGGTAGTTTAGTGATCCCAGCAGCAGAATGCAGGAAGCGATTCTGAACAGCTGGCTGATCGATTATGCGCCTGGTTCGACAAACTGGTCTCAGGAACCCGAGCAAATAAGTTTGAGAGAAGACAGAGCGTACACTACGCTTCCTGGATGTTTTTGCCTTGTCGCAGTTATATGGCAAATCTCGTATCTTTCTGTATTTTTAAATTAGGGAGGTTTGAAAATCACTTTGTGTGGCACGTTTGGGAGAGGTGCCCCAGAAGGATGTTTTTTCTACGCATTACAAAATATCATACAAATCACGGAATTTTGTCATATGATTGGGGGAGGGTTGTATTTATAATATAAAATTAAAATTTATTTCACTCACCTAATAATATATTTTAAAAACCGATCAAACCTGATACCACCCATAGTGGCTATGCATCAAATAATTTACTCGAATGAGGAACCTGCAGTTTATGCGCTGTAATCTTGACTTTTTTGCGGAAGGATTGAATCGTGTCAGAGATTGGACGGGTAGCATGGCAAATCTGAAAAAATGTGATGTTGAGCAAATATTGCCGTATTTCTATATTTAATACATTGCTTCTATGGGAGCGTTGCCATAATACGCTAAGAGATGGCGCTAGCATGCGATGGCGCAGATTTCTGGGGATGTATGCTTTGAAGCGCGTATACTATGGCACGTAAATCACTTCGGATATTGACTTGTTGCAATATTTGAAATCGCCCTGTCTCCTAGCACTATCTATTCAAACCGCTGTCCCACGCTAATTTTAGTCAAACTATTTCAAGTTCAAAAATAGAAAGTGACCGTTCAGTTCCTTCGCTTTGTTGTCAAGATACTTTAAATATTCTCTTCTTCCGGACCCGATACTGCAGGTGTACACGCGATTTTATTTATTTTATTCATTTTATTCGCTTAATAATTTGCCTTGCGAAATATTGCAGCCTAACTCACTGAGACAGCTGAAGAGAATTTAATATTTCCGACGTTACTGCTACCTAACAATATTTACAACTAATGCGTGTCAACTACGTACAATAGGTGTCATCATGCTTTGGTGTTTTTCTAACTGTTTTAACTTCGCTTTTGAGAGCTTCTCTTCGTGCAACATTTACTGCTTTCGTTTTCGAAAATTCTACCACATTTTTCTTCATAGCATTTAGCTGAGAGGAAAAACACGATCCATTATCAGCTTTGATCGCCCCCGAATTTTTGTCTGCCTTCACGAATGTTCTTCAATACAACTAACTATGACCATGAATATTTTTATTAGAATGTATAGAACTACTATACCACTCTAGCATCCCCTTATCGTTTTTTTTTCGTATTAGTAAGTGAAAGTGAGTGTAATGAACTCCCTGAGTACGTTCTCAACCGCTGTAGTCCTGAATTGTTTGAACTCCGGTTGATTGAATTTCTACGTAAATCGTTTGAAAGCGTGAATCAATACTTTGCATGTCTATTGTCGACTGTTTCGCGCTCTCTGCGTAAGATGTCAATGACTGTAGCTCCTTTGTTAGTAGCCATCCAGTTAAAAGATCCAGCAGAAAAATATTTCTACAAAATTCAGCGAAAAAAATTGAGACGTTATGTGACGTCAGGCGACACGTGACGTAACAGGTAAACATTTTTGAGAGTCCTCCCTAAATCGAGAAGATAAATTTTCCCGCTGAATTTAGCAGGTCACAACTTACAAGGAACACATACGGGATCTGCTGCGAAAATCTGCCAAATTCGGATATTGCGGTAAAACAGGTCAACATATCGCGACAACATATGTGCCCTTCTTTCCGAGATGCACACCAGCAAGAGGGACGTGTCGCCACGTTTGGTCACGAAACCAAACATGAGGACCAGCCATATGGATGCTCCAGATCGACGCCCTATGAAATGCTTTCCAAGGCAGGACTACAGTCACGTGACCCTAACAAGATGCGCCGCTGCCTAAGCGGTTTGCAATGATTCACGAGCTAAGGCCGGAGCGGACGCGTACGTCACTTCCGGTTGAAACTTCTACTGCATTCTTTTTTTATCTCAGTGCTTTTGCGGTTTAAATTTGATAGATAATGACGCGGAAAAAAATTGAGTTGCGTAAATGGTAGGAACAGGTACGGTATATTTTCACGGCAGTTAAGGCGTTCCTAATATATCGTTTTCAAAAGGGCGCGCCACCTAGTAGCCGCTGCGTCAATTATTAGAGTTGGGCGTTTTTTTGCGGGGGCACGTATTTACTAAACATGGGCTGGAGAGGAAGGGGCTGCCGGCACCTTATCTTTTCCCGAGTCTTTATGAACGAGCAAAAAGCCCGGATGAACGCCTTGAACCCTGTGTTTCTTCAAATTCGCTTCTTTTCGTCCCTGTTCCCTCTAGTTTATTTTACTTCCAGATGTAATTATAGCTAGCGGAATCAATGACGTTAAGCCCCTGGTCACCGGAACATCATTGTTAGGTAATAGGCTGTACGAAAAACAGACGAAAGCGCAGAATATTATCAGATCATATCTGTGTCGTGCACAGGATCAGACAAAGCAACTGCGGCTGCAATGTCCTCAAACATCATCGCTTTTCATATAGCCTCCGGCGGCAATAAATTGCGTCCCTAAACAATTTTTTTTTTCCGACACCATCTATTCGAGTGCGCTGGGAACATCTCGTGAATATAGCGCGCACCGAACTTATCGCTGTGCCCTCGATAAACCTCGGCTACGCTCGCAAGGTTGGTGCACGTTTTCTCGTGAGAATCGCTGTTTCAGATTGAAACTTTTCGTAACTTAATTTATCTTAATGCTTATATCTTGCACGGGTAACGTCGACTACATTTTATTGCCTACAATGCATAGTTTAAGGATCATTTCCGTCGCCGCGTGTGGCTGGAAATTGTCGAAAAGTTAGTTCTATTGTTTTTCTTAATCGCGATCTCCTGCGCGATAGCAGAGAGCCATGAACTTTTACGTTGACCGTCACAACGCGACTGGGTTCTTCTTACTTTGCGAATTAGTACATAACGTAGCTGAAAACAAAAATTTCAATTTGTGTTATTGAAACATGCGCATGCATCGATTTCGAATCGTTGAATCATTGGTCGACTCGCTCCAGCGGTGGGCCTATCTCGTCTTTTTTGCTTTCAGTTCTAGACGAAGGACAAGCTCGTCGACAAGGGATCCTGAATTAAAACCTTCATAAACATTTGCAAGTTTCCTTAGATCGTTTCCTGCAGTGCGCTCATTTCGCACGTCCTTGTACACAATAAATAGAAGAAAAATTAAAACATGAATAACGGACAAAACAACACACTCGTCCGTCCTTCATGTTTTAGGCTTTCCTTTATCACCAGCACTCCCAACTAAAGTATATTGTTCACATCATATTTTATTGTTGGGGACGACACGAAACGCCATCCAAAAATGTTCTCGGTGTGCTGCACCTAAACCAACAAAAGACCTGAGGGAAAGTAACGCGTTCGGTGGCGCGTTCGGTGCGGGGCTGGGTGCCGCGTTCGGTGCCGCGTTCGGTGCCGAGCTCGGTGCCGCGTTCGGTGCCGCGTTCGGTGCCAAGCTCGGTGCCGCGTCCGGTGCCGCGTCCGGTGCGGCGTTCAGTGCCAGCTCGGTGCCGCTCTCGGTGGCGCTCTTCTCGGCACCGCCGCGCTTGCGGATGCCACAGTTAGGGGCAAAAAAAAGTTCCCACGGAGTTAAAAAACACAATCCACGGGAAACAAAAGCACAAGACGTAACCTAAGTTGGACACCCAGGACTTCGGAGCTTTCAACTAGCACGCCTAACGCGGGAGCGGCGCCCCGAAGAGCATTTTCGCCAACATGTCTAACCACTCAGCATGGCGGCAGAACCTGACGCTCGCTAGATGGTGCTACGGTATACAAAAAGGGCGCTGACCATGGTAAAAGGGTGTATACTCTGGGAATCTATTGGATACGAGAGTTGCATCAGCGTTCGCCGTGAACGCTGCTCTGCTCGTATCAAAATCGAGTGTCGTTTCAGCGTTTGTCGAGGACTCGGATCCAAGCACACGCTTCTTGTCCAACTAATGCCGACCGGCAATGTTGCTCGATGGGGTTTTGAAAATGGTCCCTTGGAATGTGGTAAGGTGATTGTGTGGATGTTGGTTTAAGGGATTATAAATAAAGTTTTTTGTGCATTCTTTTCGACGGAAGGGATAGATATACAGTTTAGCCAGTGCAACATAACAACATAGCAAAATTAAGAAACTATGACAAATTCGATACGAATAGATGTTGGAAGCAGTCTGAGCGAAGCAAAGGGGACGAGTATAAGCATATAAAACTTTATTAAATGTCCCGCTATAGTATTAGGTTTTATAAATCGTGCAAAAGTAGGCGAATATATATCAAATATATATTTCGCACATGTCGTTAAGTAAAGTGAAGAAATGTAACTGAACAATCAAAATATCATCCGCGTCTTCCTTGCTCGGTATAGTGAAAATGCGACAACACTGATCGAATTATTCTCCTCATTATTTTTTTTTTGCACTCGTAACATGGCGTTGGTTTTCGCGATCAGGAGCTAGTGACATATTTGTGCCTCCCCTCTCTATGAGGACGAACGTGCAGGGACTCGTATTGAGGTTCGAATCGACTGTGATACCGAAAAAGTGAATACTCTGCATTACATATGCAGGCTATCGACAGCCACACTATCCATCGTGCTGAATAGGTAGACTGTCGTCAATAAGCCATCGCTACTCGGTTTGCCGAAACGATTGCTTAACGAAGAAGACAATTGATGCTGCTATCTTTTTTTTTATCTGACACTTATCACTTTTTTCTCCTGGACTTGCTGTACAATACCTGCGATAAAGAGCGGACTACTTGAGACAGCAGCTCTAGCACCTATAAAATTACGATGAGATGTATAGCAGGTATTCCTAGAGTACCATAGAGTCCACCAGTGGGCATGGCTTCGTCACTTCCCTTCCATCTTGCGGTAGCGCTTCTACTCCTGCTGGTAAGTGTGCCATTCTTTTTATTTTGTTAGTCACCGGTTATTCTGTTGCAGCCACTGGTCATTACGTTACGGGAATCCTCATAATGTTCAGGATGTTGATTTCTGGTTGGTTGTTCTATGTTCTCACCAGCTGATGGCTCAATGTAATTGATCGCGGCGCGATAATAGGTTGCTCCGGACTCGACACGCCGTGGGTTCCTCCCTGGCATCAAGGTCCCGCGTTAGCATCCGAAACTCGAGGTTCGGGGCTGCACTTCGTTTCATGTTAAGTTCAGACGCAGCCGACGCTCCGAGCTGATGGGACCAATCAGAAAGCGCTAAAAGCACTCCATCATGGCGTTTGTTGTGTTGCTGTACATGTTTTATCATAGCTGAGCCAATCATAAACATAAAACGCCCTGTGACTTGCGCTTTTCACGCTGCTTGATTGGTCCCATTAGCTCGTAGTGTTTCCTGCGTCTCTGCATAAGTTGCAAAACGAAGCATAGAAAGATCTACGAGCTTCTCCGCTAATTGTTGCGGATGAGTCGCTCATATAACCGCAGTTGCCTTGTTTTGTTTTTGTTTTGTTCTGGAGCAACGTCTCGCAAAATCAAGGCCGCAGAGCTGAATTTTCGACGCCCCCTAAGGAGGCTAAAGCGAGGCGCTGATTGGATACGAGTGCTGCGTCAGAGTTCGAAAGGGACTCTGACGCAGCACTCGTATCCCTGATTGGACACGAGTCTCGGCCGAGTGTGACGTAACACTCGTGTACCATCAGTGTCCCGCGGTCGACTCCTCGGGATGACGTTGAAACTTCACCACAATAGTTTTCTAATCTAGGTAACGTTGTTAAAAGTACGGACCCCCCCCCCCCCCCCCCCCCCCTTTCATACTCTTTCTCAGTCCTCCCAGTTTTTGTCTGAGTGTCCGATAGATCGTCTCAGTCATATGGTAACCAGGGAGTCGAGCAGGTGGTAAACCTGCTCGGTTCGGGTTGGGGTTCGGTAGCTTCGCCATGTTTGTTATGTTACAAGCTCGGTACTCAATGCAATTAATGAAAAAAAATACGCAAGACTTCACGTCTATAATTTTCTTTGTGGTAGAGGTGTCCGCTGTTAATAGCCATTGGCGAGGTGAGAACAGCGGAGATGAGCTTATATTGTCCCACCTCCAGAGCGAGCTTTCTGCCTTCGACAAAGCTTCGGCGGCTCGTGCACCACGAGCACGCGTGTGCGTCCAAAGCACTACAAAAGGTAGGGAGCGCGTGCTGGAGTCCGGGCGTTGACAGAAAACCCGACCTGCCGTTCTCATTCTTTGTCACTGCAAATACAACTGAAAAATTAATTAAACAATTGTCTCAAAAATTTTGTTGCACAGTAACTGTGGGACAAACAAAATCATTGGGAGAGTTGTCGTAATCGACCAAACCGTCTAGAAATGCGAACTGTTGAAGGTGCCCTGAGGATGTTCTGAGATCGCCTAAATATGGCGATAACTCACTCTGCAGGCTCTAAACATCCTAGAAATTCATATATCATAACGATCAGAAGCCAATTTCCCTACTACAATCGCAGTCAAAGACCGAAATATCTCTGGCGATGGGTGGAGCCATGGGCCGCTAGCCGGGATGGCATCTGACCAATTAAAACGTGACATATCATTAAGATTGCAAAGGCTGTTATTACAAAATGAGTAATCATTTGAAGATGATAGAAGCAGGTGGGAGTAATCGAAAAATGTTAATTTTTCGCAGAGTCGGAACATAATACTGCAATAATTGTCTAAAAAACAGCTATACTGTTGCTATTTGTTTTCTTCCGCGGGAGGGATATGTTTTGTGGTCAGTTTTCGAGCTCTCGAGTGCGCGCTCGCTGGGTTGAATAGGAGTCCGGTCTGTATGGGCATAGCCTAACCTATACTCACAAAGCCTGGCAGTTCGAAGATGGAGCCATAGAGTGCCGGATCGCAGATTTGGAGCGCGAGGGTCTGGTAGCGCAGACCATTTCTCGGGGAACCTGGACGTCAGCGCACAGCTTTTGCAGCGGCGAGGACCTGAAACCTGCTTTTCAAACCCGACGAGAAAAGAAGCGGTAGCGCGAGGAACGCGAGTGGCACGAGCGGATATTCCATCGCTCGGGAGAAGTGTGTTTCGGCGTCTCGCCGCAGCGGGGCGCCCGTCACGTGGCTCTCCTCTCATACGTTGTCTTCTGCTCTCCCTTTTAAATTTGGGCGGCAGCTTCTCGGGGCGGTCTCCCACGCTTTGTCAGTATATATGAGACTATGGCATGGGCAACAAGCCGCGAGCATTCGAGATATTACTTCGCGGTTCCACCAGTCGGAGGCGTGAGGAACCTTCGCTTGCTATTGAGTGACAGAGGTCCTGATTTGGGAACGTGCTCCTCCTATCGCCGGAGATAAAATTGGTGTGTTGCAAACTTTGATTGCTTTTTTAAGAGAAAAATCGGTAGCGTATCGTTATGATTTCCGGATTTCTAGGTGTTTAGAGGCAGAAAAGGGAATTATTGCCATATTTAGGGGATCTAAAAAAATAAAAACTCCTCAGGCACCTTCAATAGGTAATTCTTTACCAATAGAGTATCAGACATATAAAAAATTGTGAGCAACAGCAGAGGCTTTCTTTACGACGTTTCGAGCAGAGCCTGCTCTCATTTAGCTCTAGGGAAGTACAAGTTTCAGAACGCTTCGGTTCGAGATCGAGAAGAGGAGAAAAGCCATAATTAAACAGACACAAGTCGACCTCAAAAACAAACTCGCTCACAAGGGGCGATGTTTGCAACAACACACGGGTACACTATAGAAAAAAAAAAAAAAAAAAAAACACGACATGAATAACCCGGTCATGGCATTCTTAGGGAAAGCAAAAAAATGGAGTTAAAGGCAGAGTACCTATCTCCAGGCCCGCCCTAAGGTACAAAAATAACAAGTATATAATCAAAACTACGCGCGTCACAAGAAAACGTATCAAAAACAAAAGTGAAGTTAGCAGCAAGCGTCGGAGACGAGGAGACGACGCGGGAAGTGAGGGCCGTAAACCACCTTCTCAGAGTAACTGTACCTGCCGCGTGGAGTGCGGTTCACAATTTTCTTTACGTCCCTGATACCAGGGAATTTCGCTGTTAGTTTACAAATGATCTGCACTATATATCTAGTCATCAAGACAATGTATTTTTATGCTCTGATTGCAGGTTCATCAGCATGCCGGTGAGTGATCAAGCCCTCTACAGTTTTATCCTTCCAGACTTCCAGCTCTAGATGCAAAAACAATTGACAGGTCCCAACAATCAAAAGGATATTGACCCCTTAAGATAAATATAATTTTACGGTGCTCTTCAAAATACACACATTGTGTTTCACATTATCGAAGATTAGAAATAAATGTCTGAAAACAGTGAAATTGACATCATTGTGTTTCACATTACCGAAGATTAGAAAAAAAAAAATGACTGAAAACAGTGAGATTGACATTCTCATCAAATTTATTTTCGATTTTACCTAATCAACCGCGACTTCTGGTTCTCATACGTTTCCTATTTGTATTCATAGCCCATGAATTGAAGTTGTCGATATGTTATTAATTAGTTACTACAAAATACAGTAACTAATTACTACGTTTACAACCCGCGGCCGGCTATGGAATACCGAAACTGGCAAAGCACCATAACTATAAAGCTAGGTTCACTATTTTTAATGACAAATATAAAGATAATATTCACAAAGCGGTAATTTAGAATGGCCACACTCAGGAAAGCAGTGTAACATTTATCTAAGCTGCGTATTACAGCCATGCTAAAAAACATGCTTCCAAATTCACGACCACCCAATGATCGAGCAAACATCCTTATTCGCAACCGCTCTTCACGTGCCCGATCAATCGGAGAAAGTGTTCCATTCTTAGGTGATTTAACTAAGGTAGTTTTCAATTGCATCTCTCAACAAATTCCGAAAATCCCAACAGTTCCCACAATATTCGCGGCGAGAGGTTTGTGTATCGCCGCCCGGCGGAATATTTTGACAACCCAGTGTGAGGATCCTTCAACTTCTTTAGCTGATTCAAGCACGTGCAATACCAAGCTTCTATGCACCGAAAATTAAAACATTACCACGAGTGCAGCACGCTCACTACCCATAGTGAGGAAAAGAGAAACGCCTCTAGCGAGCTTCTCACCGCGTATAGGATGAAACTATTAAAACTCGGTTGACTTCCACAAGTAAGCCTTCCCAGATACAATTAAACTACACATTCATCACGCCTCCACCGTCTGCTTACTGCAGCCGCCGACAGCTTATGAAACGAAGGGCGTGGTCCTCCGATTCTTGCTTCGTGATTGGTTCCCCAGCGTGCTTATTAGCAAATGCTGCAATCTCATTGGCTGCAGAGCGACCATGAGATGCACGAGACTCACCACGCCCTGCGTTTCTTCAGCTGTCAGCGACTGTTACCTTTAACCGAAATTGATTAATATCGAAGGTTACAGAATAGAACTATTGTTAAATATTACCCAAGCATCAAAAAGAACGCAGGGATTGGTGTTCCACACGCCGCACGTGCTGGCCTCAGCAGTAGTAACTTTCCTAAAGCAGATACCTAAAACAAATGGCATCTTGCACGCGCGTTCGTCAACGCTTTATTTTGGTTATTTACTTCGAATATTTTATACGGGAAAGGTCTGCGCGTGTGGCGCGTGGAACACCAATCCCTGCATTCTGATTGATGCTTGGGTAATATAGCAAATATTCGCAGCAGCTTACTACAGGGTGAAACAAGGAGACGCCAAGCTCTTTAAATCGACCGGAAAATTCAGTTTCTTAACCTATCGCGCTACGACTTTGTGCAGCGTTGACCACAAATGGTGCATTTTTTTTTATTTTTGTAAAATTTGCGAAGAGCGAATTTACCCGTGGAAAAAGTAGAGAAAGAAAAAGGCTTAGCTCCCATGGAAACGCAACGACGCCACCAGTCTGCAAACAACACGGCACCGTTTCGCACGGGAGACAAGAGATGGCGCAACAAACGCCGCCAACGAACGAGCATACGGCGCCGAGAGCCGGCCTTTTTAGCAGACAATCTTTTCGACTCAAAAGCGGCGCGCGTTCCGCAGGCGGCAACAGTCGCAGAAACAAAAAAGACAGGCGTGGTAACAGCAAGGAACTGCAGTTCCTTGTCTGCAAAAAAGCCGGCTCTCGGCGTCGTCTGCTCGTTCGTTGGCGGCAGTTGGCGTCGCGACCGCTTGCGCCATCTCTTGTCTCCCGTGCAAAACGGCGCCGTGTTGTTTGCAGACCGGTGGCGTCGCTGCGTTTCCATAGCAGCTAAGCCTTTTTCTTTCTTTACTTTTTTCTCAGGCAAGTTCGCTCTTTGCAAATTTTAGAAAACAAAATGCACCATCAATGGGCAACGCTGCACATAGTCGTAGCCCGATAGGTTAAGAAACTGAATTTTTCGGTCGATTTAAAGAGCCTGGCGTCTCCTTGTTTCACCCTGCATATCAGACTCTCAACACTATCGCTGTTTCGGAAGTCCAACCTCGTCGAATTTAGTGAAAAGGTCGAAGGTGCTCCGAACCCGTCAAATCTCGAGAGTCGACGAAAGTTTGACGTCAAATATCGTTAACCTCTAGGTTCAGCGAAGTTCGATGAAGTTCGCTTTGCTCGCCGTCGGAGCCCGCCGGTCTCGAGGTTCCACTGGCTCGAAATTGAGCCTTGTCGATATTGAGGTCCAACAAAGTTCGACGATGTTCGACAAAGGTCGACGAAGTTCGACGGTGTTCGACTGGTTTGACATCGAACCTCGTTGATCGCGAGGTTCGACAAAGTTCGACGAAGTTCGAATGGTTCGACGTCGATTGTTCATCGATCCTCACGCTTGACGTCAGTCCTTTTTAAGTGACGAAAGCTCGCGACGTCCCATTTTGAGGCCCCTGTACTGATAGGGCGTCATATACCATTGTATACCCGCTACAATAAGAATCTCTTCACGCCTGTGTGTGTCTTAAACAGCGGAGGAGCTACGCGCGTTTGACTTCGACAAGAAGGTGGCGAGCTTCGTGGAAGATTTGTCCAAGACTCACAAGCAGAAGGTGATGTGGTGGGACATTCACGGGGAACACAAGCGGATCCAGGAAAACCTCGAGAAATATGGGCAGTGAGTGATGCTTCGTCCAATTTGTTTTTCGCATTTTCTTTTTAATTTACGAGAACAGTCTTTTCATTTCCAGCTCCCGATAAGCTAGGAAGAAGAAACAAGAGTGGTAACAATGTCGTAGCATTTCTACCAGTTGACGTTTTTACCGAAAGCCAACGTAATGATTCTGTGGGCACTGATCAAGCAGGGCCCAAAGACCAACGTCGTGGCACAAGTCGTCTTTGAGCACTTGCTCTCACTGCCTAAAACAGCCACGCAAAAAAATAAATAAATAAAGCGCAGCATTATGACGCATCGGTTCACGATTGAACCAGCCGGTGATAAGGAAGGCATAAAGAGGACGAGCGTCTCGCCGATACACATTTTGCGCTGCTTGGTTGGATGAAAAGGATGGTGACGTTGGCAGCGGTCGGGCCTATTGTGAAGCGGAGTACAGGTAGATCTCTTCATAAGCATCGCGCAGAATAAGGCAGCTTTTGAATGCCCTCCGGAATAAAGACTGCGGCCTGGGCTCTCGTTCAAGAAATATATCACGAGTTCAACCAGACAGGCAGTCGCCACAGACGTTCTTCTCTGACCCCAACATAAAAGAATGACCTTCCTTCTTCCCGAGGGTTTATGCAGTTTTCCCCTTTCGCGCACATTTCCCGTCCTTGTCTAATGACGATCGTGTTGACACCTGACGGAACGAAAGGGCATCTAAAAGCTCGTGCCACGTCATAATAACTGCCTAAATCTGCGCGACGATTATATGGAAATGTGGCTTGATTACGTAACTGCATTGCACGTGTAGTAAAATATTCTTCGTAGCTTTTGTGTTTTATTACCCCACTCATCGAATGTTGAAAAAAAAAAGAAAAAAAAAACAACTCTCGTGGATGTTTTAGCCACAAAAACAGTTTCCTTCGACAAGTTTCTTGTACTAAATTTCTCATACGCCAAGTTTCCTATACTAACGAGTCAAGGTGCTGTCACGCTCTGTCTTTTACCGGCCACAAGATCTCTCGTCTTATTGAGAGTTTCAGTGGAAACTGAATAACAGGGGACGGACCTGTCTGTGGCAAATGAATACGATGTTTCTGGCGTGTCAACCACGTAAAAATGGAAGTACGAGTGTCAACTCAAAGTACGTCTAAGAAGGGCAGGACCCGGCACAGCGTCATGCCCAGTGACGCCAAAAAACAAACTTCATCCTAGACTGTCTTGCGCAGCGACGCACTCTCATCCAAGCTCCCATCGTCTGCTCGTCGTTCGGTCGACTACGTTAGGCTTTGGGCTCCGTCTGCTCCGTGCCTGCGGTATGCTTCGTCTACCCGCTGTCGCGGCTGGCTTTCGAAACGATTGGTGCACCAAAAAATGTGTCCATACGAACCCGCATTGTCATCACGGCGGAGGGAGACGAACATTTACTGGAAACAGGTCTTGTACTGCTTTCTCAACCAGCAGTGCCTTTCTCATTGTTCGTGAGTACGACGGCAGACACGTTCGTTTATCAAAGCCGCGCCGCGCTATTACGACACGCTCTAGACGACGGCCCCGGCGTGGTGTCGAGAGCGTCTGCTACACGCCGACTTTCTAGTGGTCAGGCTAGTGTTGGGCTCCAAATCTCGCCTGTTGGACACCGATTCAGTGGACGCCGCCATGAAAATATGGGGCAAACAACCGCGGTGTCAGGGTAATGCTGTGGCAAAGCGGATGTCTGCGCCATATGTTTGTGGCGGCGTCCGTTAACTGGGTTGTTATCTATGATAAAAATTACCCGCGACTGTGAGAAAAAAATGAGGAACTTAGCAAAAGAAAAAAAATGAAAGCCGTTTACAACTTCCTGTAACGCCGAATTAGAGCGCAGCTCTTGAGGACGAGGAGGGAAGGGTACTGAGGTTCACGTGTTTTCGGGAGGCGAGGGTGAAGTGACCTCGGGGGGGGGGGGGGGGGGGGGGGGGCGGGGGGGGGGGGGTGCGGGGGTCACGTGACCGCAGTTCACGTAACTTTGGTGGGGTCACATGAACCCCTCCCCAAGGTCACGTGGGGGTCACGTGACCTTGGGGGTCACGTGACCTCGGGGGTCATGCGACCTCGGGGGGTCACGTGACCCCCAGAGAAATTTTTCCGCTATATTTAGCGGGGAAATGTTTTCCGCTAGATTTAGCGAGGAAATATTTTCCGCTAGACTTAGCGGAAAAAATGTTCCGCTAAATTTAGCAGGAAACTTTTTCTTCCGCTAGATTTAGCGGGGAAATTTTTCCGCTAGATTTAGCGGGGAAACTTTTTCCGCTAGATTTAGCGGTAAACGTTTTCCGCCGGATTTAGCAGAGGAATTTTTCCACTAAATTTAGCGGGGAAAGTTTTCCGCTAGATTTAGCGGGGAAATTTTTCCGCTAGGTTTAGCGAGGAAATTCCGATAGATTTAGCGGGGGAATTTTTCCGCTAAATTTAGCGGGGAAATTTTTCCGCTAGATTTAGCGGCGAAAGTTTTTTGCTAGATCTAGCGGGGAAATTTTTCGGCTAGATTTAGCGGGGAAATTTTTACGCTAGATTTAGCGGGGGAAATTTTCCGCTAGATTTAGAGGGGGGATTTTTTCCGCTAAATTTGTCGGGGAAATTTTTCCGCTAGATTTAGCGGGGAAATTTTTCCGCTAGATTTAGCGGGAGAATTTTTCCGCTAGATTTAGCGCGAAAATTTTTCCACTAGATTTAGCGGGGAAATTTACCCATAATGCACCGCGCGGTGACGCCGACGGCGACAGCGACGCCGACGCCCCTCAAGCCAGAAACGGGCGCCTAAGAGCTGCGCTCTAAAAAAGAAAAAAAAAAGACACAAGAAAAGGATTGCCTTAATAGCCCAGAGATAGCCCAGAGGGGACATTTCGCGGCCAGGCCTACTTCCCTTACACTTGGCTTTATGCAACGTTACTAGATTACCTCAGGTGTGGAACTGCCGCGGAAGGGGGTACCCCCCTCACTCACTTCAGTTCATGTCCCGTCATTCGAAGCGCCATCTAGATTTTTGTTTATGAACTGTGTGTTCCATAGAGTGCAGTGAAGCGGCATTTAGACACTGTGATTCAAAACGTACGCATTCTATAAGATACACTGCAGGTACCAAAGCAGCCGTCTGGCGCGTCGAATGACGGGAGGCGAGTCGTGGTGAGTGAGGGGGAGCACTGCTCGGTGCGTGCAGCGTCTATGAGCAGTTCCGTAACTGAGCTAATCTAACAATGTTGGCTCCATGTACAGAGAATACGGACGCCCCCTCCTGCCCACTAAAATCTTCTTATCCAAATCCCACAGCATAGTAACCGAAACACAGGGCTTGGACTATTGTGTTCCTACTCTTGCTATGTGATTTATTTTTCGGCCTTCTCATTGGATAATGTCACAATCTCATTGGATGCAGAGCGAAAAGGTTGCTCGGGACCCGGAACATTCTGCGCTTCTTAAGTTCCTCATTGACTACAATGGTATGGTAGCTGTAATGCGTCTGCAACTGGTGGGTTTACTGCGTCCAAAAGAACGCTCTCTCGATTTCCACCTTGTGACGTCATAGAGGTGTCTTGCTGCCGCCGGTCGCAGTCCTGTGGCGTCCCCGCTGCGGTGCTGGATCTGGAAGACGCCTGTTCTGCTGCAGGCCACACTAAAGTGTTACGGTCCACTGAAGCTTCGACAGTCAGCAGTTCGGACGCCGCGAGGACAGCGACACTCGCGCTTGCTCGCGTGCTTTTCGCCGGCATTTCTAGGAACAACCGCCAGGATCGCGACATCCGAGAGGCTGACACTCCTCCTTTTATGGCGTCATTTGTCGATATTTCGGAACCACCTTGGATGTACGGGTGGGGCAGGGTGCTAAACTTACCAGTCGGAGACGCGCTTTAGGCACCGTAACAATAGTGACTATAATGAAACCGGAGGTCAGGATGTCCTTACCACCGGTTTCAAATTGAGAAGTGATGGGCGTCCACTGTCCGAAATCTCTTCAACTTTCTAAAGCCTCGAAACTGATATCACTGAACTCTGTTTGTCCGTTCGCCCGTGCGTTTCCCGCTACATTTGTCGGCAAAACTGAATTGTTGCTTAGGTCACGCGATGTGAACTGATGTCACGTGGCCTGACTTGACGCAATATATACACCAATTATGTTTCCCCGCCAAAATTAGCGGGGAAATTGATGTCGCATGACTTGCCGTCACGTGACCTATGCTATACACCAATTCAACTTGACTGCTATATTTGGCGGGAAATTAATGTCACGTGACCTGATGCCCCTTGGCCACTACATCAATTCGGTTTCTCCGCTAATTTTAGCGAAAGAAATTGATGTCACGTGACCGAATATCATTGACCTATACATCAATTCACTTTCCCGCTAATTTTAGCGGGGAATTTGATATCCCGTACCCGACGTAAGAAGACATATTTACAATTTTAGTTTACCCGCTAAATGTGTCGGAGAATATAATGAGGATAACGGGTCTTTCCCCAAAAAAATGGTTTAATATCTTCTTAGTAATTTTAAACGATCGCACCTTAAATACTGCATTTCATGCGTTCTAATTCGAAGATGATGGTCTTTGTAATTGTTGGTTATTAATTATAGTACGCGTTAATTGTGCAGTGAAAGCGGATGCATTAACGCCTGTACTCACAGGTACAAGGTGTCGGTAACAGCGGAAGCCGTCAAGTACGGAGCGGCGAAGATCGCTTCAATGACGCCGAACGTGGCGTACACCCAGTGGGCCCACAACGGTCAGCCGTCCTCAGCCCAGCAAGTCTCGGTCAAGAGAAGAACTCAGCGCGTAAAATCTGCCACCTGGCAAACACAGACGGCGTTCAGCTCTTCGTTCAACTTGAAGGCCGCCGCCAAAATTCCGGCCGTCACGAACTTCCAGACCCAGGTCCAAGCCGCCTTGGACTTGAAAACGGCACGCGGTGGACACCATAGTGAAACCGAAGAATTTACTGTTCATGAAGTCGTCAACGTGCCCCCCATGAAGAGCGTAAAGATCGAATGGATCATCACCGATGTCGTACAGGTATGTTATGCTCGGCTACGGAAAAGAAATCAGAGTAATAGACTTCTTACAGTAGAGGCGTGCCACCTAGTAGCTGCAGCGCCAATTAACAAATTCCTACATTGCTTGGGCACGTACTCCGGACATGTACTTGACATGCTCGGTGTGACCTCCGCTCAGCTCATATCGAGAACGAATACTGCGTCAGCGCTCAGCGAGAACTCGGGTCCAATCACAGGCTTCGTGCCCAAGACCTGGCGATTGCCAATGTTGCTCGATGGGGTTTTAAGAAGGGTCTAATGTGTCGCGTCTCTTTTATTGCTGCGGAAAGTTAGTCAGCTACGGTGGCCGTCTGCAGTCTTCACTAAAGTTGAGATATTTAGCCGGCGCAGTACCTCTGCTAACCAGTTGGAAACGAGCAGGAGTGGAGATTCATCGAACCAAAGGTTCAACTACAGTTGGGGTCACACTGCTTATATATCATAAAGAAGACATTCTGCACAGAGATTCCCAACGCCAGTCTCGTCTAGATCCGTGCTTCGAATGGCGCGTGGCAATGAGTTCAAGGAAGAAACTTGGCAGGCGGCATTCGAACCACGGATATTGCTGTGGCTCGCGTTTGCAGACTGTCTTTCGTGTGATTTACTACCGGAGAAAAATGAAATGCGAACAGAGGAGCGCGTGACTCACGGTACAGGCTGGGCATCCGCACGCGCCGCACGCGCTCGGCGCGTGCGGCGCGTGGAAACTCGCCGCTAGTACACTGTTAGCAAAAATAACACGCCCAGACGTGTAAACCGTTGTCCCATAGCGGACACGTCGAAACGTGTTTGTTTTACACGAGGCCATCTGTGTTTTTTGTCTACACATGAGGTGCTGTGTAAACTTAACACGCTACACCGTGTCTGCCTTCCGCAAAACCGTTTCGAGCGTGTCCCTTATGAAACATGGCGGCCAGCGGCCGAGAACAGGCGAGAGACGAGCCCAGCGAGCCGCGCGCCTTTCAGCCGAATTGAAAGCACACAGGGCGCGTTAGTTCTCGTTCGATGTCTTTTATACACAGTAAAGTCTCCAAGCGGCGGACGTAGCTACTTGCAAAGGTACGTACGTGCGTTGTCGGCGGTCGGCGGCGTCGGTAGCTTCAACAAGCCGCTAGACAAAAAAAAAAAAAAAAAAAAACGAATGCCGAACTCACATGGATAAGTAACTTGAGCAAACTATTTAGAATCGGGCGGTAACTTGCGCCACCCATCGCGATTTCTAGCAGCCTGTTTAAAAAAAAAAATTACGACTCTGTTAACACTGCGAACGACCACGACCACACAGCAACCCTACATACAACGCAGGAAACACAGCACACAGCTACACAGCACCGACATTTACACAAACACAACAAGCGACACTACGCCCGACACTTCCTACTCGATACCCATTTCTCCCCGCGGCGCATATAAGCTTGGCATGTGCGGGTGAGCTCTTTGGTCGCTGACCATTACAGATTTATAGAAGAATACACAAAACACGGCGCAATGGACAGCCGTGTGTTAGAACTGTTTGCATTTAAAAGGTATGCAGGCAAAATCAATAATGTTAGTCCGTTGCAATAAATAACGATATGTTAACAATAAATCTTAAACCGGTCATGAAAAAGTTCAAATTTTTGTTATTTTCTTGCTTGACCAGTGCTATGAGCAGTCCGACTAGCTTGAATCAGATAGGAAAACAAATTATTGGGATTTTGTCATTACGTATACAATAATAAATGAAAATGATCCTTGCGCAGAGCATTTTTTATATATTTTTGTGAAGGACATCCGGACATCCGCCCAACACTTCACTTCCGCTAGTTGCAGCAGTTGCAGTACGGGAGCAGACGCCTTCACTTTTGGGGCGTTTTGATGCAGTTTGTTGTCGTATCGGTGTCGAGAAGAGCGGTGGGGCTTGGGAGTTTGTGACCGGTGTTATTCGTGAACACTGGTGTGGGGCGCTGATGCGTCTTTTTTTTATACTGCCACCACCCCGAACTTTGAAGATACACGGGCCCGTAGCAGTGCATTATGCTGAATCGCGAGCTCCTTCTCTGTTGACGTCGCTTTCCTGGTACCACTCGTGGATACTGCAAGCGTTTAAACAGTGTGCACCGTCTCGCCTACATCCCCGGTGACGTACTCGACCTGTTGAAACTTATTGCTTCCGTCATTTTAGAGTACGCAAGGCAGTTACCTCGTTGGTCTGGTTTCGGTTATAAAAGCAAGGCAAAACGCTCGTAGTTCCCGCCCTCAGTACACGTTGAACATCTTCCACACTTTGACACCGGATAACTGAATGAACGAAGATTTACATTCACTTCCGAGGTTACTCTCGCCGCTTCCTCACCGTTGAGCAGCAGGATGAGCTGGCGACAAGCCGCGGATGAAAGGCTTGAGCATCAACAGCCCAAGCGCACTCGGTGCCGATGCGGGCGACGCGGGTTTCTGTCAACCGGGAGGCCAGCACAAACCGTGACCGTTCCAGCTCTTCGTCATGACACGGTGTTGCAGAGAGCAGGGTAAAATACAGCTACACGGATCACCGAAGCAAACGACTGCTATCTTAAATCTTGGCTTGTGATTGCGCCTTTGTAGTAGATCATCTTATTCGTTTTGCTGGAGAGACGCAAACGACGGGCATAACAAAATCGCTTGCATATTCCGCATATCTCACAAAAGCATTTACACTGTCACCTTGCGAAAAGCGCGAAACACGGAGTCCGCACTGTCCTAAGCTTCCCGTTTTTTACCTGCTTTAGAGCAGTTTGTACCTGCTAGTAGATATGCCTACTGAAACTGAAACAGGGCAGTGCCAGAGAGAAAGAGACAAAGTTGAGAAAGCTTGCTCGCTCTCCAATTTCTAAACTCTCAAGTGATTGTACCATAATAAATGCACCAACGCGTCTTCCAAAATAAAGAAAGAGCACTACGTTCACAACATAAAAAATGGTCTCAGTACATGCATCTGTGCACAGGTAGGAAACCTTGCCCTAATTTATTCACGCCGCATGATTGGCGCAACAAACTCGTTGCAGGACCGAATCATCTACTCGAGCGGTGTGCGTCGCTATGCAAACGCAGTCCAACACGAAGCATAAAAAACGACAGATTTAAGACAACAATCCGGAGTACATTATTCAATTAAAACAACGTAATTTTGTTGAAAACGCCCGCTGCTTCTTACCCACGGTATGTGTCGGGATACTTCCACAGTTTGAAACGGAACGAAGGAGATTTGCTTTTAAAAACGCTCGCTGCGTCCTCCCGGACCAGCTGGACCGGATCAGCTGACGACCGCGGGACTGTACCCGTTGAACCTCCACCACGCAACAAACAATTTGCGCTCCGTGTTAAAAGCGTGGTTCAAACAGACCCGGAATACAAAGCACCGCACCACACACGACGAATGTTTCTGCTCTTTTTCGCATCGCCGGGTTGCACCAAACAGAACGAGATCGCCGAAGTCAACGCCGCGCTGTCGTGAACCTTGGCTTGTGGTTGCGAACTCGTGGACCCGTGACTCCCTTCGCTTTCAAAGCACACAGGACGATTACGAATGCTACTTTCCGTCTTCCAGGAACACCACAGGGGCACTTCTCCGGTCACGTCTTCACTATCTGCTTGCAAACTCCGAAGCTCTATGCGAAGCTTCTCGCGTCCTCTTAAACCAAAACAGTAGCGGCGCCATGCGTACTTGCCAGATTCTCTCCGGTCAAACAAAAACAACGAAAGCCAACCGGCGCTTGCTTCCAGCGTACATCGGCGTTGCGCTTGCGCCGTGGCCAAATCGCTTGCAGTTGAAGCTTGAAGCAAAAACGAAACCAACTGCAATGTCACGCGTTCACATAGAGGACACGCTTTTTATATCCATTTTAACTGTTTGGAACGAATAATTAGACCCATGACTTTATTTGTGGTGTCTAAGAAACTGTTATCAGGACCCCTAAATTAAATGGAAACATGGGCGACATGAGGGAAGCCTCATTGCCATCGACCAGAAGATGGCGGCGAGCTCGGTAAGCGTGTGTTTCGCCAACGTCCTGCGACATGGCGCAATTGCTTTTGGTGCATGTCTGTCTCCGAGACATATTTCTTTCCGCGGCATTTGTCTCGACGGTCCTTTCTAAGTGTGTCCCCAAGCATTCCGGTGCTTCGATAGCCGGCAATGCCGCGGTCGTCGCCGGGGGCGATGCGTGTTATCGAGGTCGGCTACACGGTTGTGCGTGTATGACCGAACCAAAACACGTTTTTTACAACCTCGCATGATTTGTGAACGAATTATCCGTTACTCATCGTGTAAATTTATGGTAATTTGTGTAAATAGCGTGTTTTTCACCCCGAATATTCGCCAAATACACGGGACTTGCTAACAGTGTAGCAGCTAAAGCTCGCGCTGGCTGAGCGCGCGTTTTAGCTCTTGCTCCGGCGAGCTTCCTCGCGCCGCACGCGCCGAATTCTAGTTTCTCGCGCCACAACTTGTAATTCTAGTTTGCTGTACCATGTCTCATAAGGGGTATTCACACGAGGGATAAATCCCGGGGATTTCTCCCCGGCACGCGCATCCCACGACGAAAACGTCAGGCTTTGCGATGTGCAAAAGCCTCGCGTTTTCATCTAATGATGCGCGCGTGCCGGGAAGAAATTCCCGGGATTTCTCCCTCGTGTGAATACCTATTGGCGATGTGCGCGATCGAAAGCGTCGCTGTGATCGGCCTTACACGATTGGCCGAATGCTGACTTTGACGTCAGGAAAGGATTTTCATCGACGGAAAAAAGAAGAATGTAAGAACTTGAATTTGGACGGTGTTGGCAGTGTTGCTTTGAGAATGAATGCTTTCCAGCTTTTACCCTGCTCATTACAAACACCATCGAGCTTGTTGTTCACAAGGTAATGACGTCACGAAAGGGAACCATAGGAGGGTGCCACTAAAACATCTCGCCGCTAATACTGACAAAGTCGTGCAGATAGCCACGAGAAGCTGCCGCCGAAATCGAAACGGTGGAGCGGCAGACAACGAATGAGGGGAGAGCCACGTGACGGGCGCCCCGCTGCGGCGATACGCGGAAACACACTTCTCCTGAGCGATGGAATGTTAGAGCACTGCGCGAACCTGGACCAGCCCGAAAACCCGAGCCCGGCCCGGTCAGCGGGCCGGGCTCAGGCCGGGTAGCGTGCAGTTTCTCGGGCCCAGGCCGGACTCGGGCTTGAACAAATTTGTTTTCGGGCATTGCCGGCCCGGGCCGAGGCTGGGCAATCGTGTGCCGCAAATGTTAAATTGTTGGTAACAAAAAATGTGCTCATTGATTTTTTAGGTTCAATAAAGAAAAAAACAAGCGAAATGCAAAATCACTAAATCGCTGTTATATATATGAAAAAAGCAGTTTTGAATTTGGAAAGTTTTTACGCGGATAACAGGAAACGTATAAATTCCAGCAGCATAGTGGGAAAAGTGCGATCAAGGAAACGAAGGCACTCCAGTCGCAGGGTAGAACAGGTACAACCATGAGTGCCTTTTCCTCTTCTTCTCAAACCCCCCCCCCCCCCCCAAAAAAAAAAGAGAAGCAGAAAAAAAATGAGCTTGACTTTGCTCTTTATGCAGGGAGCCTTACTATGCCACCAAAGATAAGCTAATTATATATTTTTCTATGCTTATACAGCCTTTTGGAGATGCACTAGCCTGAATGTGATTTTTTCCTCACAAAAACATGAAGATAGGAAAGTTCTCTCAAACGAACTGAACAATGAAACGTCGAATATCTCTTCAAGAATTGCATAAATACAATATTCGACACTTTTTTTTTCTAGATCATTTGCGAGCTGCATATTTCGCCCATATTATCGAAAATACACCGTCTAAGTCGGGATATTTATCGCGTCAAAAAATCTCGGTCCAAATGTAAAAGAAATCTAAATCAAATATGCTCGCTTTATGCTTATACCGTTTTTAGCTTAAAGCCTGCAAACTTTTTCGGGCTCACGTATAAAAGCTGTCGGGACCAAGCCAAACTCAAGCTTACTTACAAAAAAAAAAAAAAAAAATGTCGAGCTCGGGGCGGGCTTAAAGGGGTCACGAAACGGTTTTCCTACTTCTTCCTCCTGAGCTTTAATCCTCAACTCAAACGCGAATTGTGAAATCACGTGGTCGTGACATTCTTTCGGCACCGGTGCGATGACTCCTAGCTTCCACCGTGCTTTTTCTGCACACCATAAAACTTGTCATTCCCCAGTGACAATAAGTTCCGTCAGGGCACTCATTGGTCACGAACGCGAATCCGAATATTCGTCGACGGATTGATTGTTGACGAGCGCATACGTCCGAGTGATGCAGTTCTCGTGTCCAATGCGTGAGCTGGGCTCGGCTGATGTCAGTTTGGCGCCGGTGACGCGCTTTTGGAACCGGGGATGTGTCATAGTGAAAAGGCGGAGAGCTGTCGAAGGCAAGAAGGTACAAAATAGTCCGCTATATTTTTAAATGTTCGTACCGAAAAGCTGGCTTTTGACTTTCTAGCCTCTTTCTTTTGGCCAACTAAACGATATGCGATTAGTAAAGTCCCAATTTAAAATCATTCATCCCAACCCAAAATTCGTTTCATGGCCCCTTTAAAGGGATACTGAACCAAGGAATTTGGTGTCCATAATAAGTGGCGCACGTTCTTCCCACGAGCCAGCAGCCGCCGGTGTGCGCGAGCACAGGCAACAAAAATGACGTCACAGACCTCCATTCGTGGTTGAGATGACAGTGAAATATATGGGCTTCGGACCAAAGGAGAATAAAGACAAGTTTTTCATCTACACAGTGATACCTGGTGTAAAAAGTAAGCGATGAATTGGTCTAACAAGCACGTAGCTTTCACTTGTAGAGATGAAAAGCCTGTCTTTTTTCTCCTTTAGTCCGAAGCCCATGCATTTCATTGTCCTCTCAACCGCGAATGAAGGTCTGTGACGTCATTTTTGTTGCGTATGCTCGCGCACACCGCGAATGGAGGTCTGTGACGTCATTTTTGTTGCGTATGCTCGCGCACACCGGCGTCTGCTGGCTGGTGGAAAGACCGTGCGCCACTTATTACGGGCACTAAATTCTTTGGTTCAGTATCCCTTTAAGCTTCCATCTAAAAATTCTGCCGGGCCCGGGCCGGGCCCGGGCTGTGTCTCTTCTGGGCCGGGTCGGGCCGGGCCTAGGAATTAAATATTCTGTCGGGCTCGGGCCGAGTCCGGGCCGGGCCTCTACTGGGCCGGTTCGGGCCGGGCTTAAACATTCCTGCCCTTGCAGTGCTTTATGGAATGTTCACTCCTACTCCTCGCGATCCTCGCGCTACCGCTTCGTTTCTCGTTTGAAAACCATGTTTCGGGTCCTCGCCGCTGAAAAAGCTGTGCACTGACGACCAAATTCCCCGAGAAATTCTTTATGCTACGAGATCATCGCACTCCAAATCTGCGACCGGGCACTCTATGGCTCCGTCGTCGAACTGCTAGGCTTTGTGAGTATAAAGGAGGCTATGCATGTCCCCATAAAACCATTCATGTAACCAGAAAATCTTTTATGACGGCTAGTTTAGCCGACGGAAGAGCCCCATTGACCAGCAAACAGCCCCTGGCGGTCGATCGCCTGCGGCGGAGGACTACTGCAATTAATCTCTAGAGCGATGGCGACGAAGAACGAATGATGACATAGCCCGCACCTCCACCAAATGTTACGATGTCGTACCACCGGCAACAAATGACAAAGACCTGTTCCCTCAATAAAAAAGGAAGATTTTATGAAAGTTGGGCCGCGCTCGCAGGGTCCTGGCGCGCTATTAGCGCCGAGATGTTTCGGTGGCGCCCTCTTATGGTTTCCATCCGTGACGTTACGACTGGGATTTGCCTCGCCGTGACGTCACCAGTTGTTATCCTTGCTATTTACCAGCAGGTGCGACGACGAGTTCGGTAATGTGTTTAAAAAGCACAGTGGAAGCTAGGAGCCATTGCAATCTGAAACTAACACCGTGAAAGTTGACAATCTGATAACGCTCATATTCCCATGGCTTGGCGAATCGTGGAAAGCTGACCGCAGCGACGCTTTTGGTCGCGCACATCGCTAAGGCGCGCCACTGCCCGAGCGTCGTCGTCTTCTTCGTCACACTATTAGAAAACCGCCGACTAAACATCGCAATACGCCGTTTTTCCTGTGATTTCTCTAGAAGAATAGGTGCGACCAGCGATGTTTGGTCGCATCTATATGAAAAAAAGGCCAGTCATTATTTTTTTTTTCTGGGGTGCTTAGGGCTGATTAGCATGTTGCGTTATTTGATCACGTTTTTATAGAGGAAAAGGCTACGGAGGATCCTCATTTCAAGTTTTCAAGGAAGCCTAAAACAAGCGGGTGTGGCGCGATGTTTGGTCGCCATTTCAATAGAGAAAAGGGCATGCATAATTGTAAGTTTTTGTTTTGAAAGATGTTAAGGGTTATTTTGTTGACCTTGGATAATCAAAAACGCGATTTAAAAATCGCCTGTAGTGGTTTTTTAAGCTTTTGAGTTACTAAATATTAATTTTTGTTTTTGTTGTTCTTTGTTCTCAGGAAATCCCTTGGACGGCGGAAGTCATCGCAAGCGGATGGGTCGCTCTTTGGTTCGAAAACAAAGTCGACAACCACTGGATGTGGTTTTACCCCGTCTCGTCGCTCCGGGATCCACTTCTAAAGAATATAGGAAACAATAGCGTTCAATTTACCGCCAAGGGCGTGCTTACGCTATCTAACGCTCAGGAGGGGCACCTTCGCGTGACTGAGTTCGATCTTCAGCAGTACGCCGGAAAGCCTTCTCCAATCAGGACATACACCATTCCTCTGAAACTGACTCAATAAACTGCACCCTTTACTTATTGGATGTTGAAATGTGGTCATTGAACGCCTTGCACGGCAAGAAGCCGTGCAAATGCTTTTATTTTCCTAGCTAATCTGCGTATCGAACTTATATTACATAACAAAACGTGACCGATTCGTTGTTTTTTCAAAGTAAACCTACGTTTATTTAAGATGCAAAAGGGAGTTTAAATTTTTACTTTTTGAAAATACATTGTACGTGCCGAAGGCGTCTAAACGCCGAAACGCCTACAGCTAAGTCAAATTAAATGAGAAATAAACATTCAGAATATAGAAAATGTGCCCCATAGCTACGACTATTCCTTCTGAAAGTTAGTGCGCTCTAACTGACGTTGTCTCTTTGTAGTTCGTCTGAAAGTTATTGTCTCTAACACCTGTTCATTTCAACGAAGGAATGTTTATGTTGGCGAAACACAGAAAGTACACATCATATTCCCAGCAGAATGCTTTCCTTGTGTTCTGGCTTGGTTTAGTCCTAGCCCTGATTGCAGTCCCTTCGTATTTAGAATTTGTGTGTGCATTGTTGGGAACAGGAACACTGCACGCGAGCTCAGGAAGGCCTTGGAAATTTTAGCGATGCTTACCGACAGCCATCTGTGAAGCGACACCTAGAACCTAATTTAAATTGTCCTCGTAAGTTTTCAAGTATAAAAATTGTGCCACAATACAATAGAATCGTGTGAATAATGCCATCTTTGTTACGAAGACTGATGCAAGCAGTTAGTCATGTTAGACAGGTGCAACCACCGTTCCCAGGGCTATTTTTGACAGCTCACCAGCTTGTAATATCAAACCGACGTTGAAACCAAAACTAGAGTTCTTCGACTATTCACGAGATTGCGGAACATACTTCTCCAAACTAAATTTTATTTCTCCATGGCGCTTGGAAGCCATCAATCACCGGTGGCAGATGGCCTACTGGCGCGGTCAGGAAACAGTTCAGAATGATATTGTGTTGTGCCCCACCCCCGCAATAAAGACATGATAAAAAACAATGAATGAAAGACAGTTCAACAAGAGATAAACACCTAGAACACACAACCGCTTGTGTGTTCCATGTGTTTTTCTCCTCTTGTCCCGTCCTTTGTGTACTGTTTTTCACCATGTCGTCTCAATACCAACCGGCCCCACTTACTATATTGCTCCTGCTATAATATTGTAAAAGTTCGCAGTATTTCGAAACAAATAAATAATCGCTCTCGGCCGCTGTCGCAGACTAACTATAGAAAAAATATACTCCCGTCCGACGAGCCGTATTCAAACCAGCGACACATGGATGGCAGCAATTGGCGGCGAGATGTTTCGGTGGCGCCTTCCTATGGTTACCTTTCGTGACGTCATTACCTTGTGAACAACAAGTTTGAAGGTGTTTGTAAACTGCATGGTGGAAGCTTGAAATCATAGCACGCTCAAACCAACACTGCCAACACCGTCAAAATTGAAGTTCCTCCATTCCTCTTATTTTCGTCGATGGGAAATCCTTTGCTGACGTCATAGTCAGCATTCGGCCTATCGTGGAAAACCGATCACCGCAACGCTTTCGATCGCTCACTTCGCCAATAGACCTCTAGCCGAATCATACAAGCGTCAAAACGAATGCCAGGAACATAAGTGCACGCGCTGCGCGTGCTGGTGTCTTCACACCTAACTGTTCGAAAGCAAAAATATAAGACAAATGGCACTTCGCACGCGCGTTCCCCGAACGCTTTATTTCGGTTATTTACTTCGAAATTTTTTTATAGGAAAGGCGGCGCACGTACAGTGCGTGTACTATCGGGGGAAAATGAAATACAGAGGAGAGCGTGGCTCGCGGTACAGGCCGCGCCGCCTGGAAGGGAACCTAGGGACGAGGATGTGTGGCCTACTCCGATTTGTGTACGCCCCTCGTTCGGCGCTTCCCAAGCTTCGGCATCGCGCCTCTCATGGCACGTTCACACTGGAAGCGGATCCGCGTTCGCGAAGCGGATCCGCGCGTTCTCAACCGCAAAGCGGCGATTATCGAGCGGTTGTTGCGCGTTTTTGCCAACCGCTTCGGGACCGATTTCTCCCAACCGCTTTCACGAACCGCAAAACGGCAACCAATCACAACGCGACGCTGACGTGACGTCAGTGACTTTCGAAACAAGATGGCACCTGTCGCTGGTGAGGCACCCAAGGCGCTGTAGTCTTAGCGCTGTAGTCTTAGCTTTCGACAAATCAACGGAGAAACTTGAGCTTCACGTCCGCCACTTGAATCCGCCGCGAAAAGATTCGACTCGTAATTTTAACGGGCTTCGCACCGGTGATTTGGTTCGGGTAAGAGCTTGTTTATTATTCCGGGTGGCCACAGCCCAAGCTTGCTGTCTTGTTAATTTCTGCCTGTAAACGTCGGAACCCGCCCCTAATCGACCGAAATGTCAGCTTTTCTACCCACTAAGATAGTGGCGTGAACTATTGAAAGTTTTCGACACCGTGCATGATCACCTCGAAGGCCGATAGAGACGTCGTGAGCTTGATTGCGTAGCTAACGCACTACCGCAGAGGGAGCATGGTACTTGCACTAGCTCGACCTGTAACGTTTACTACTAGTAAAATAAATAAAGGGAACCTACTCAAGGAATAAAGTGTACGTACAAGACAATCAATCAATCAATCAATCATTTTATTTTTCTTTCACGGGAAAGAAGGTAGCTGGGGCAAAAAGCTGCAACATATGCAGACACTGCATAGGTAATCGATACGGCGTTTATTTGAGCTTAATGTCAAACAAACAGTAGACTCAATCGACGAGCGAGTGACGAGGGGAGAGTCCGCCACCAACGACGCCACGACCGGCTAGCACCGAACACATTCCGCCGCACCACGGTCCACCCCACCGCTCACAACTTCGAAAATGATATGAGTGAACAACAACAACGAGGGGGAAAACTGCCCCTCTATAGACCCCTTTCGGAATTTTGGCAACACTAAAAAAAACTTAGCCGGAATAGTAAAACATTTAGCAACATTGGGTGATCGCCGCCATTACGCAGGGTTTGACTCGTTCGACCGGTCGGCGCGCAGCGTAGCCGCCGTAGTATTTTGAGCTATGGCTTGTGCGGGTGTTTTCCCGATCACCTGTTGGTCTAATGATCTATCGATACTGCCACATATAAGTGACAGAGAGGTGGAGCAGTTCTACAGGAGCCGGTCAGGCACAAACCGGTGCATGGAAAGAAGCTACAACTTCTTCGTCGAAGCATACGTGGTCCCCGCATCGATAAGGGCTAATTACTCACGGAACAGGCAAGTTATTTCTTGTTTTGTAGTGATTTTTTTAGGAACATTCCATAATTTTAATACAGTTAATCATAGTGATCGAGCTTTTAGCGTGGCCACTCCGAACGACCCGGTACGCTGCCCCCGTCGTGAGCTTGTCGTTGGGTGATAACCGAGAACTCGCTCGTTTCGTTTTTCGTACCCCTTCAATAAACTTACGACCGCGTACCAGTAACTGCAAAATGTCACAACCTTGAGTGTTCAAGAAATCGCAATCGCAAATCGTACAGAACAGCAGAAAGGGTTGTACGGGTTGGTGGCAGGCAGCATTTTAAATTCCTTCCTCGGTAACCTTTTAAAGACTAAAAAGTTAAGCGGTTTATGGCATTGCTCACAAAGCTACAGAGTAGACTTTCCAGAACCACTGATGTATTGGGTTTATTTCACGGCGTTTGTAAACGTAAACTTATGAGCGGCTTGTGAATCGTCGTCTTGGCCATTTCTTAGAAACTGAAAATTTTTTTGATGTAAACCAGTGCGGCTTTCGGGAGAGACGAGCGACCACAGATCATTTGGTTCGCCTAGAGACCGCAATACGTGAGGCATTTGTACACCGGCAGCATTGTGTCTCAGTGTTTTTTTATTTACACAAAGCATATGATACCACATGGAGGTACGGAATACTTCGTGACTTGTACAACTGTGGTGTGCCGGGCCGCACGCTTCAGTGCATACAGAGCTTTCTCAGCGAAAGAACTTTTCAAGTCCGATTGGGTTTCACACTGTCAGATATTTTCTCTCAAGAAAAATGGTGTTCCTCAAGGAGGAGTGCTGAGCGTTACCCTCTTTGCTGTAAAGATTAACAGTCTAGCTAAGGTTATGCCATCATCAGTAACTTACTCTCTATATGTGGATGATGTGCAAATTTCTGTCTTCCTGTATCCTCTCCAGTTGTGAACGACAGTTGCAACTTACAATCAATAGAATGTGTAAGTGGGCAGATGAAAATGGCTTCAAATTTTCTCCTGAAAAAACAGTCTGCGTTCCTTTTTCATTACGCCGGGGATTCTCTCTTGATCCTTCCTTGCATCTTAATAGCATTGAAATATCAGTCCAGCAAGAACACAAGTTTTTGGGTGTGATTTTTGACAAGAAACTTACCTTTGTGCCCCATCTGAAAACTTTAAAACGGAAATGCTTGATGTCATCAAGCATCCTAAAGGTGCTGTCACATACGTCGTGGGGTTCTGATAGGCGCTGTCTCCTACGGCTGTATAACTCCTTAGTTCGATCCCGCCTCGATTATGGCGCAGTGGTATATGGGTCAGCGCGGCCATCTGCTCTTAAGATGCTTGACCCAATACACCACCTTTGACTACGACTTTCTACAGGTGCATTTCGCACATCTCATGTGAAGAGTTAGCATGTTGATACGCATCAAATGTCCCTTGAGAAACGGAGGCAGTACCTCAGCGTCTCTTATGCTTACAAAGCATTTTCAAATCCAAAACATCCCTCCTACAGTGCCCTTCATTCTTGCAGAAGTTCACAGCTTTTCGAAAACAAGCCGAGCATTGTTAGACCATTAAGCCTCCGTTTGCAAAATACTTGTCAATCCCTTAATATCCCCCTTCATGAGACTTCCTTGCTTAAAAGCACTCATAGGGTTGCTCCTTCGGATGCTCTGCCGATTTTCTGTGACTGGTCACTCGCAAAATACAGTAAAAGGGCCATTTCATCACAAATTTTCCGGCAGGAGGTCCTCTCCTTTCAACAAAAATATGCAGACTGCCTGGAGTGTTATACAGATGGGTCCAAATCGTTGTCTTTTGTAGGGTGTGCTCTGTATTCCGCCTCCTACAGCTAAGCCACACAAGTTGACTGTAGGGCAGGCATTTTCACCGCAGAGCTTTATGCTATTTTACTAGCGGTCGAACATATACTCGACAATAGCATAATGAAAGCTGTAATTTTTGTCGACTCACAAAGTGCCTTATTCGCTGTGTCCTCCCTGATGCCCACAAAGAACCTCCTTGAACAACATCTACATGGTAAGATCAACAGCACCCCGCGACGCGGTCGGGACATTAAGTTCTGCTGGGTGCCCAGCCACGTTGGGATTTTGGGCAACGAAGAGGCGGATAAATTGGCCGTGTCTGCCCGAGGCTCATCTATAATATTCAATTGCTTACCCTACCAAGATCTGAAACCACTTCTGAGGAAATTTATTTTCCTCAAATGGCAGCTGGAATGGGATACAGAAAGCAACAATAAACTTCACATTATCAAGCCCATTCTGGACGTTCGGGAGAGCTCTTATAACAGGGAACGTCGTGTGGGAGGTTCTTCTGTGCCGTCTAAGAATAGGTCACACCCGCGCGACACATCAGTATCTGCTTCGTGGTGAAGATGTTGCACTATGTGAACATTGTGGAGAGCTTCTGACCGTGTTGCACATTTTGTGGCATTGTTCGTCCCATCAACCACTCCGTCAATCATGTTTTCTCGAACTTTTTAGGGATTACCTCCCATTTCATCCTTCGTTTTTGCTTGGCGATAAACCTTTAGTTCCTTTCAGCCGTGCCTTAGACTATTTAAAACAAACTGGATATTTGTACAATTTTTAAATATGTAGCCTCAAAGTAAACTTTTGTTATAGTATGCTCTAAATACGTTAAGTTTGGCGCATTATGGCCCTCGTTGCTGCTGCGCCAATAAACTCCCAATCATCATCATCATTATCTTAACACCGATCACTAATCCGACAATGAATGAAGTGAGAAGTATTGCGTTCCAGTGGTCATTCAGGGTCAGAGCTATCCGCGCAGCCCTTGAGTCACTCAACCGGGATCCCTAATGAGGTTCGGTACCACTCAACTTCCGCACTCGCTACGCTGATCAATTAAAACTTGCTCATTTTTGTTCTGAACGAAACGTTTGGTCTTCTAAACTCAAATGCATTTCTAAACGAAAGCCATTCTGCACTTAATATGTTTAGCGTGTACATTCAGTAAGTCATGATTCCAGGACGTCTCACGAAACCAAACATTGGGAATCGAAACAACCGCTACAGTTTACTCTGTTCACATGAAGAAGTCGGTTGGATCGCCAGATTTGGTTGTCCAAATTGACGCTTGTAGGTACGCGGCAAATGGGACATAATTCGAGCCAATTCACTGGAGGCGGCCAGTGGTAATATTCTACCGCCAGATGTTCAACCTACAAGAGCGCCTCAGTCAGTTGCAATATCGTACCATTAAAATAGCAATCACTCAAAACAATATTGAAGTAGAATTTTTCGAAGTAAACTGCACGACATCCATCCATACATAGGCCCCTATTTTAGAAATCGTGGAAAGTAGCCATGGGTGGAAAATGTGAGGTTTATTCTCTCTCGCTCTCGTGTATTTATTTCATTGAGATATCTGAATAAAAAAACAAAAACACACGTCAGGTGATGTTGCCATTGCGTGCCTTTATCATGTCTAGTCTTTAAAATGCCATGAAATGCGGTTTTGTTTCCAATATCTGGATTTTACTGACCGTTTTCGCTCTACTTGCTGCCGGTTATTCGAATTATTTATTACAAAGCACAATCCGCGTATTGTTTTTATGTGTTAAATATTTAATTACCGATTCTCTGCATCTAGCTTCAACGAAATTACCCCAGAATGCAGAGAGTAAATAAGGGGAAAATAAATGATTAATTAAATTAATTGTTTACTTGTGTAATTGAGACAAAATACGTTTTATTTTATTTTTGTCATTCTTGTCCAGCTCGCTTGCACCTTTACATTTAGTTGCACTATAATCCTTACCCTGGTGATTTATCTATTTTTTATCAAATCAAACCTGAGTGCATGAAAATAATGTCATACTTATCTTTTTTATTAATGAACACAAAGAGGTCACTATCAGCATTGTAACTATAATATAAAAAAATGTTTTCCTAAATAAAAATAAAAGAAGAAGAACACAATAGATGGTGCTATGGAGAATTTGGCAGCCTTGAAATGGCGCCGGCTACTCCAAAATAAGAATATTTATTTTCCTGCGATATAGAAGATTTGATGTATCACAGAGTCTTCGCCGCAGGCGTAAGCGGTGTCAGGCTCAAGGGAATGGTGTATGTCGTGACTGCCGAAGACCTTCCGCCGTACGCCTGATAATCGTGCTCTGTGATTCGAAGATGAGCCTCGTGTGCCTTGACTCCCGTAAACGTTCCATTAGCAGTGTATAGGTATGTATCGTCCCCTGCATACTTAAGACGGGAATCTCCGAGATAGGGGAAGTTGTAATACCACACGAAGGTACCTTCGAGTTTCTCCGTGTACTTGATAGCAATATGTCCGGCTACGGCCACTGTCGACGTCCAAGGAACTTCCTGTGTAAAAAAAGATAATACCATCACAAAAACTTAATTCACTAATCACTAGAAATAATTTATTGACTGATAGACGGTCAACAATCTTGAGGCATTGCAAGATCAAAGTATTTTCCTATTTATTCCAAAGAATAAAAAAAAAAAACTATGGCTGCATTGCAGCAATAATGAGAGCAAGTCGTCTGCGCCCTGCCCAGGAGCTGCAGTGATGTCAAAAAGACACCAAGCGCGGATTGACTCTGATTAAAAATACTGGGTAGAATTCAAAGCAAGTTGCCTTGAGGTCTACCCTCTATTCTTCAGTCAGGACCAGTAAGAGCTCGGCGTTCTGACGTTACCACAACCCCTACAAAAGAAGCAGACGAACTTGCGTTCTGCACAAGTAGGGCAACAAATCCTTGAGACATAAAAAATGTACCATTGGCGTCAAATGATGCTCACAATTAGGCCAGTCAATGAAATATTAATTTAGTCAAACAACGACGCACAGTGAATTAGTCGTTGCATACAAATGCAACGAGATTCCTGACGATGCACCTTTAGAACTGCTGGACTGGCTCCGGTCGGGTTCTAGCGTTGGCTTCGGTCGAACTTAAAGTGAAACGGAGTATGGAACGAACAGCAAAAAAACGCATGGTCACGTTGTTTGTAATTTACTTACGTGTTGCGTCATCAGCCAAATAAATGAAGTGCAGTGAATGCGTCGCGCGTTTGCATTTTTAGTTTGTATGTTCGACCACAGATCTTGTCTGTACTATTACTTCAAACAAACAAAAAACAATCTCCCTCGTCCTGCGACCCCCTGTTCACTTAAGCTGATTGATATACTACCTAGGCCAACATACCCGAACTACGAAATCAACTGCATTGCTCGGGCGAATCACGATGCCTGTGATGGCCATTTCAACAACGAAATTCATCCGGGCGTAACGTACCTGCACGGCGTCTGTGATGATCCAGTCAATCTTGACGGACTTCATGGGAGGCACGGTGACGACCTGATTTACCGAGAATGTCTCCGTGTCAGAGACCTCTTCACGGTATCCCCCTTTCAGGTCTAAGCTTATTTTGTGCTCGGTTTCAATGTTGACAATTTTCCAAATATTGGCACTGGCTTTCACGGAGCCGGAATAACTGAAACCAGTTTCAACGTGCCAGGTGGCGGTCTTCTTGTGCTCGGTCTTTCTTTCAATGGTGGTCGTCTGGGACGATGACGCCTGTCCATTGTGGACCCACTGAGTATATACCACGTTTGGTCGCTTTGCTGAGCTCTTCGTTGCGCCGTACACCACAGGTCCCGCTGTCGCGGTCACCCTGTTGATGGAGAAGAGCTTGTTAATTGTTTGTTTTACTGGCAACGTGCATCGTGACCAGATACATTGGTCCAAGGCGTTTGGAAAGAAGGAGGCTTACTGCTTTGCAATTATTACGAGTGAGGCTTCTTTTGAAATTGAACCTTGTAGGGGAGGGCACTACGATTTTTGTTTTTGTTCGTATAGATATATATAACTGAGAAGATAAAACCCTTGGTGAAAACAGCAACAACGGACGATTTATTCTTTGCCGTTTCCGCCGGAGTCCGGCCTTTGTCTTCCTGACTCCGGCCGGACTCCGGCCGAATGTCGAAGAATAAATCGTCCGTTGTTGCTTTTTTGGCCAAGGGTTTCATCTTTTCAGTTATATACCCACGCCTTCGGCCTCCCGCCACCATGCCCGTTGTATATATATATATAGGCGAGGCAGAGTAGTTTGAGAACAATGGACAGGAAAAATGTTGTAAGTCAAAGGTCCGTACTTGCGGAGTTCCTATGCTAGGAGTTCGTTGCATGTATTACGACAGTTTCGCCTAGAGGCTCGGCTTCATCAGGAGGTGGCATACAGATATATATATGTTTGTGTGTGTGTGTGCGCGGGTGTGCGTGTGCGTACATGTGTGTGCGTGTGTGTTATATCCTCCCTAACATAGTGAACAAAACAAATTTTTAGAAGCTTTGAAAAGAAAAGTCTTTGCACAAACAAAACTTTTCAAGTGGAGCAAGGTGAAACGCTACATTTTGACTGCGTGATTTTTTTACCCATTAATGCGTCATATCATAAATATTATAAATAGGTAAAAACATTAACACTATAATTTTGTGTTGTACATGTATGACACATTGCCTACATTTTTTAATAATTTAAATTGCTTTGGTGTATTTTAGGCCGGAAATTAGTGGCGTGATTTTACGGTGGAAACCGAAATCCAACACCGTGCACGGAACACCGACGCTTACTGAGAATAAAATCGAGCGACCGAACGGAACGATAGAGCACGGCGGGGCGTACGCAAGACTCAATAGGGGAAAGAGGGCGAAACGAGCGAACGAATAAAACCAAAGAACACGGCGGAATCTCGGCGCGACGAAACCCATACGGACCAGTCCATTCCAGCACTGACGAGTAGTCCAATCCACTACCACCCAAAGGAAATACGGCTGACGTATTAGGCAATCAAAACATTTAAATGCATAGCCATCTAAAGGGCTTGACTCTAGAGTAAGCATATTACTCCGTGTAGTTCGCGTGGTTTTATTGAGATTGAAAAATCGACTGAAGCCTGACAAGGAAAGTATCTAAGTATTTTTCGATGCGCTATAAGCAAAGTCGTTTATTATTAAGTTTATAAAGCTTTTTGGTAGTCAAGAAGGGTTATATCATAATAAACATCTAACAGACGGTCGACATTACTGAGTCATGATTATCTCTTGTTTTTAATATGGAATATTTTATTAATTGGGTTTGGGTCTTTACTATATGTGGCCTTTCCGCATAGCATACAAATGCGATCGCGAATACCGAAGTAAAAACCAGGGCTCCTTTGCTGGAAGCTGGTTAACTGTAACCGAGGCAAAAGTTAACCACATTTCTCTACCAGGTGGAATATTAGGTCACGTAACTAGCAGAGAATGAACGGCGGGGAAATATGGCGATGCGCCTCCCAGCCAGCGTTGTCACAGTCACTGCGCTACCGGGCACGTTTCTTAGCAACGCATGGAGCAGGAGTCTTTTGCTATGCCTTACATCACTTAAATCGCAAAGTTTAAGCAATGATCACGCCCATTTTTGTGTCGTATTTTGATTTTTAAATTTATTAAGCCTAAAAAATTACGGAATTTTAGACATGACAACGGAATTCCAATTCTAGTACTTTGTCTTCACTCAATCGGCGGAGCATTGATGACACTCAAACGCAAACCGCGCACCAAATTTTACCGGAGCCGAAAAACACGATTTCATCTTGTTAATAACTTCTATGTGCAGTTTTTACATGCTGGCCAGTCGTTCATGCTGCCGGTGTTCCGCCCACCTTTAATTGCTCACTTTTTCCCCATCGTATCTTGCACTGAACTTCGTCGTCCTCTTTCGCACAGGGATGGACATCTCAACAAGACTTGTCTTAACTTCAGTCAGCAAAACATTGAATAGTTTGCGAAACGTGGCCTTGCTTTGGTTTACCATAGTAAAGCAAAACAAGGCCATGTTTCTCAAACTTTTCAATGTTTTGCTGTCTTATGTCAAGACAAGTGCACGTTACCCATAATTTGTACCACGAGCATAAAAAGATTTTCCCAAGCTCAAATGTATTCCGTGCTGCGTCCCGAAAACCCGGCAGCGCGCGTACTCGCGTACCCTTTACAGCAAGTTCTCCACGAAAGTCTCTTATATTCGCTACAACCAGTAGGTGACACGAGTTACCACCCCATAAAAAAACACGGAGCTATCAAGCATCCAGCACGCGTCAAACTTAGCTAGGTACTTGTAAGTATACCTGGTAAGGAAGGGCGGTTAAGTTTTTGGCTCGGTTAAAGTTGACGGGCTTCGAGCGAACGGACTCAGGAGTTTATTAAGCATTAGTAAAGACAGCACATCTTTTATGGTGTCCAGAATATGTATATAGTCACGTATGACAATTGATGAGGCAACGAAACTCTCAAGCAAGCTAAATTTTTAATAGGGCGAACCTGTGCCCAAACAAAATAACATTCAGCGGACGATAACATGCGTCGATGGAGGCGGCGTATACCGCGCGGTGCAGCTCCTTTTAAGCCTTCCATGGGAGCCTAGAAAATACTCCTTTCAAAAGCTACGTGCCAGTTATTAGGATGTGGAACCACTTCACAATGGCGGAGCAACTGACGTCGTGGAACGTGCAAGTCATTGCATAAGAGAGCAACCGTCGGAGCGCGGCCATCGCTACGAGCCGACAAGCCAATCAAAGAGTGTCAAAAGGGCAGCACCCCTCCGCTCATTACCTTTTCCGGTAGGTGTGTCCCTGCCTTCTAATACAACCAAGCACATAAAGTGTGCCGTGACCTTTCGGATTTAGACCACCATTGTGTAGGAATTCCACACCGGCCAACAGGCAGTTTTTCGAAAGGGGTCTATATTCGGCCTTCATTCTTCTCCAACCATACAAGCTCAACATGAACAAGCTGGACGGTTCTCCAGCCTCCTCGAATATTCTACTTAGAAATTGAAAGCTAAAGGACATTCAAGGCGGCGAATACAAACCGAGCCACCTGCGTGTGAGCAGGGAGCTCTGCCCACTCGGCTACGTCTTTTTTTATTACCTTTTGGATTATTATGCGCAGCAGATTCACTCCGCTAGGATGCTAAAACCGCCAGCCAGTTTTCGGCTGGCACACATGGTTTAAAATGGTCTTAGGTCAACCGTCCTATTCAGTACAGGAGCCCATTCAAGTTGTTCGCTCAGCGTCCCATAAACCTTAACATCTATTACTCTTTCAACGAAATAGTCCCTTGCTTGGCGAGGGGTCACATCGGCATGTCGCAGAGCCATCTTAGTTCTCCATAGACTGTGTGGTCTCAACAGCATGAACATGTCGTAAGGTACGCTCGTTTTGCTTTTTATGGAAAGAAAACAAATACCGAACGTTATTATCGGCAGGTCATTTTACAGGGTGCGTTGCAGAATGTCCCACAGAAAAACGGCCTCGAAAAACTCTAGGAATATATACTCGACAGTTTCCGGTTGTTGCAAAAACAGGCACTCGACCGACCATGGCACAAAGAGGCATTTCTCTTAAAGGTAGGCCTTTATGGGAAATGTTCCATTATGCAACTGATAAAAGAAAGCCTTTGCAAATGCCTTACCGGCATTTTCTTGAGTCTTTTCAGGACATCTTTCCCTGGACCATCCAAGTATAAAAAGCGGTACTCTGGTAATGGAATCACTGCATCAACAATATTTTGCACCCACGCTTCCATGCGACGAAACTTAAATACTCTGTTTTGAAACTTTAAAAAAATCTAAATGCCGTAATCACTTCGAACAAAAAGCCTCATACTCTTGTTCGTTGAAGGTTGCTACTGAAAACAACAAACTCAGGCAAAGCATGACACAATCTGACTTGCACTATGGACACCCAAAAATCAAAATTTTGATCCCCCAGAAAAACAAATATCGAGAACAAACCTGGCCTAGAAACAAATGAACAAGACCAAGCCAATCGGCTACGAAAGCGCGCAGCAATATATTTTAATGACTCACGGTGGGTGCTCTCCACGGGTTTCCTTGACGTCGTCTTCTTTTCGATGAACGTCCCACCAGACGACATCCCTTTTAGATAACTTGGCCTCGCGTTCTACGAAACCCTCCACCGCTTTGTCGAGATCAAAGGTATCTGGTTCCCCTGCTGTTAAGGGCAGCAACAATTACACAGAGTTTCTTAATGCAATGAATGGACAGCCTAAATTTATATCCCCTGATTTCAAACCAAGTCGTCACCAAATATACACCGTTCCAGTCTTACTTGGTGCGTTATTAAAGGCACCGCACAAAGACAAAAAAGGCAACAGTAAGGATTCTTGGTTTTGTACTTCGCCGTGCTAAAAATATTTATCAATTTGAATAAATTCGTGATGACAAATTAACATCGTAGTTCAGACCCGTTGAAATATGTTAATTGAAACAAAAGCCTGAATAAGACATATGCGTCTGAACATGAAGAGCTGCACTACCGCTCCTTGCATTTTACAACCATATGTTGCGCGGACTTCAAAAGTGGTTGAATCAGTGTGCAAATAACGTTTTACCGCATCCGGTCTTGAACAAGGCCTACATCTTCGAATGTTTTCGAAGTCCAGTCTGCGTTTTACTTAGGTGAAATGGTCGCTTATAATACTGCCGCAATTGTTTTACGCCAATGGTAGAGGAAGAATGCGTAGAATACTGGGAAGCATACGCAAAACGGCAGTAGGCCAGGGTCCTAAGCAGTCTTAGGAAGTCGTAACGCGCTCAGTCGCACTCAAGCGGAAATGCCTTACGTATGTTTTGTCGAACACTCAAGACTCACTACTTTAAGCGCATATCAAGGAATAGCTATGTTACCCACATCTCAGGGGAATTTCGTATTGCTCTATTGAATTTAGCGCACCTTTAATGTCATGGTGTTTCACTTTTCATTTTGTCAGCCAAAATCTAGCGATCCTTTAGCCAGACACAAAGCCTCTTCTATTTAAATTGTGCTCACACTTTGTAAATTTAAGGTTATGTAATAATATACTACTAATTAATATGTTCTGGACCGCTCAAAGGTAGGAAATCTGCAGAAATATCAAACGTATGACTGCAAGAAAAGGCAGCGAAGTACGTAAAATATAACCTACGAAATGCAGTGTCAATAAAAATGTTTTCAAACATTTTTTTCATCTTTTTTGGCCTAGAAAACGTTAGTTGTGTTTCCTGGAGAAGCCAATAATATATATATATTTAATATTAAGTATTCAAAATCCGTATCATCTTCGCTTCCTGCTAACCCTTTCATGCCAAACTATTTCTTCTTAAAATACAGATAAATATTCCGGGTGTGATTCATGAATATAAGAAAGCGACATTTTCAAGAACAATAAACATTAATTTAATTTGTGCCATTGTGAACTATTGTGGTTGTGCAATATTGGGCTTTTTTTTCTTATTTAGTATAAAAGTCCTTGAAGCAGGTTTCGCTGAGGACAAGGCAAGCATGCACGCTGCTTTTGCTGCAGTATGTACTTCCGTCAAACAAAAAAAAAAGCTATCTCAGAAACCTTTTTAGTGAGTCTTCGATTCTGTTTGGTACCCTTCACCCAGGCAGTGAGAAAAAAAGACAAGAAAGCGTCACAATATTTTTAATGGCATACCAAACCAAACGCCACGACAGGCGAAGGCTCAGAACATTTTCAAACAAATTAAGCAAAAATGTAAAAAAAAAAGCTACGGAAAGAACGTTTAGCGCGCTAACAACCTGTCATTCGCAAATCACTGCCCAACTCATCACGGATGTACAAGTAGCAATTGTGTTGAATGTGCAAAATGTACATCATAATTAAACAACAAGAAGTCTCGCGCATAACTTTTCGACGAAGTTTGCTTCAAAGCAACAACAGTTCACATTCCTTGTGGGAGTTACCGAAACATAAAATATTATAATTATAATGCAATTAAATGCAAAGGTGCAAGCGAGCTGGACAAAAATGATGAAAATAATCCCTGGAGAAGGGGAACAAGGGGGACAGAGGACAAACATCGGTCACCTAGCTGTGTTTGGAGATTTATGTTTGTCCTCTGTCCCCCTTGTTCCCCTTCTCCAGGGATTATTTTCATCATAAAATATTACTATATATGCTAATGCGCCATTGTCCTCATAGTTCGAGATCACTAGATCACTTTTAGATCATTTTTTTATAAAAGAAACAAGAATACAGGGCGTGATATTTAGAATCGTGTCCTCATTGGTGGCACCTTCAAATACATATGACTTCCAACCCAAACAAAACATTTTGTAGGACCAAAGGAAGACTCTATTTTCAATCTATGTTGCTCTGGGGATACGGTCCATTCGTCACATGAACACTCGTCACAGGACGATTCGTCACCGGACGATTCGTCACACAGGAACATTCGTCATAGGATGACTCGTCACGCGGCCAGCCGGTCCCACAATGGTTCGTTCCCCCAAATATGTATTGCTCAATTTGATTCGGGCGGAGAAAGTGGCTCACCTCATATCTTAGTATGTGTTTGGCTTCTGAAAGGCGAAGAATTTGTAACAAACGTTTCAGCTTCTGGTTCGGTCCCGAACATTGAATGTTGGTTCGGCCTCACAAAGTTGGTCACCTCTTATCTTAGCATGTCTTTCGCTTCTTAAGGTCAAAGAATTTGTAACAGACGTTTTAGCTTCTGGGTCCGCCCCGAGCGGTAAATGCGGAGGCCATATAAGAGCGACTATTTTTGAACTTTGGCTACATTCCAAAGGATAGAGGTGATCGCAACAGAGAGAGGTGGAGCCATGATGCTGCACGAGGGGTACTCGTACACATTCAGCAGAAAGAATTCCAATACTTATTGGTTTTCTCGCAGAGGGGTATGTAAGGCGAAAGTAAAAAGTGATTTGGCTGCCAGTGGGATTATTGCTCGTTCAAGCCAGCAACTGAGATCAACCTGCTGAAGACTCGTAATATAATGAAAGTAAAAGCGGAGGAGTATTGTAAGATTAGTTTTTCTAACCATTGGTTTAAGTGACAGTGGGAAGTCGTGAAACTCCTCATCAGCGAATGTGGGCAGTTGTTGAAATTTACAATTTACTATCGTCCCCTGCCCGATCGATGTGACCAGTTGCCCGCATACGAGTCATCCTGTGACGAATGTTCCTATGTGACGAATCGTCCTGTAACCAATCGTCCTGTGACGAGTGCGCATGTGACGAATCGTCCTCATCCCGTTGCTCTGGGTGAAAAACCATATACGTTGCTTGAGAGCTACAATCGGCATCTCTGTTTACAGAGATATTTTTTTAGCGAAAAAAATATAGTTTGCAATGTTGCTCCTTAGTAGCTATGTACACGAAAGGGTTAATTATTGCACTATCTCGAGCTGAATGGAAGGATTTGAAGGGTGAGATGTTCGCTTACTCACCGGCGTGCTGATGGACCTGAAATAAAGCGAAAAGAATGCATTTTGGTTACCGCAAGGTTTTTTTTTATTTAGATCATCACAATAAGTTTATTCATTATTAGACTGACTGGGAAAGCGCTCCTAATGAATTATTTTTGCAGCTCTGAAACATAAGAACTTCGATGACATTTATGCAAACGCAATTTGGGCGACTGGAGAATTTGCTCCTAATTCAAGTTCCGCGCGGTTTAGTCAACTGGATGTGGTTCAGCGATTTTTCAACTCCCCTGACTCTGAAGATCTTTGAATTCTTAGTTTGGCAGGAGTATACGAGGGGGGGGGGGGGGGAGATAAAAGTTACCGGAATGAATTTCTGAATGGGCAGTTAAATTTCAGCAGCAGTTCGTAGTGCCAGCTTCCGCTGCCAGCAGCACTTAGTGGCACCTAGAGACACTTTGCCGAGAGGCGTCGTCTGCTAAAGTTATAGCGACATGTTGCGATTTTTCCCGCAGGTGCTTCACAATCATTCATTGTTGTTTTCACTCTATGACTTTAAGGAACAGCTTGCGGCCGAAAAAATTATGTTTACTTTTAAGGTAAACGGCGGCACAAACTCTTGTAATGTTCGAGACGGCTTACCCAGAAAATGCTCTGAAGCAATCACAGGTATGCGAGTGGTTTTCTCGTTTCAAGGCCGGTGAACGCCTGATCGATAACCAACCTAGTTCAGGGCGACCCTCAATCTCCTCAACTGCTGAAAACATCGACAAAGTTTTGGCATTCTTCACCTCGAGTGTGTTCGTGTTGGTGAAACAGTTAAACAGGTGTTTTACCTGCGAGTTTGGCGACGCTTGCGCAATTCAGTGAGGCAAAACGTCCTCAATTTCTGCGAAAGGAGGAAGTGGTGGTTGCATCATGTCAATGTCCAAGCACACACTGGCCTGGCACTGCAACGGATTTTGAACAAAGATGGCAAACCCGTCCCCCCCCCCCCCCCCCCCCCTCTTCACCGGACCTCACCGCGCTTGTCTTTTTTTCCGTTCACCCATATGAAAAACGTCCTGGAAGGTAAAATGTGTTGTAAATGTGGAAGCTCTTTCAAATCAGACATTGCATAGAATGAGGAAAAAACTTTAAGCGCTTGGTAAAAAAAATTGAAAACATATATCATTTTTTTTTTAAAATTTGCAAATTGTTCACCAACAATCTACCCACGACAGGTGACCTTCCAGTGGGTTCCAAATCCCTCGGGCGTTTATGGGAAGGGGGTGGCCCACTCCTTGGTCTGAGACACATTACGCGGAGGCCCAAGGGCCAGAGTGGGTTAGTATGACCCGCTGGATGATGATCTAATTTCAAAACGGCCTCAGCGATGGAAGCCCTGGCTTCCTTAGCCACAATCCTTTCATCCTCCGGTTGGAAGGTACACCTTATGGCGCTTAGCTCAAACCACCTCCCTTCTTACTCCTCCCGCCCCCCCTCCCCCCTGCTTCGCGATTACAGATTACTCCTTGGGCGCCAAACTTGCCCACCCTGCGGGAACTTTCTAAATACCCCTACACCCCTGTTGGACTGCTCCTCCACCCTCCCCTCTCGCTCAAGAGTTATCGCCCCCCTCCCTCATCATCAGTGCCCCGGGACACTGCTGGTGTAGCTCATTCTCCCGGCGTCCTGATTTTTCCCCTTCTAGTGGGCCCTGGTCACTCACGTCCAGACAACACTCAAGAGTCCCGAGTGACGAAGACCAGCATGCCCCCTTTTAGCTCCGCACGGGGCGTCCCTTTCACAATAAAAGTTTAACACAAACATCTCTAGAACTTTGTCAAACGGCGCCGGTCGGCGAACTTACTCGGAAGGGGTGCCGCTAAGACACCTCGCGGTGGAAACTGCTCCTATGATCTGCCCGTCCCCCAGAAATTCATTCCGGTTACTTATGGTCACCCTCCTTTATGTTGCTCTTCTAACACTATGATAAACGATATGTTTATCGCCAAGACCACTATACGCGATTCAGGTGGTCACGCAGGCACTAGTATACAAAGCCAAAGCACACAGTAGTCACATCAAGGATCAAGCAGCCAGAACGTAGCGTATACCCTCAAACTACGCGTCTCCAATGACAACGAAGGCCGATTTGTCGAGATAGACAGAGGGAGAAAGTCTAAAGGTGAATAAACTCACCAAAAAGAAAATAATATAGTAAAGAAAAGACAGCGTGCGGAGTTTGGAAAACGCAAAGAAACAAACTTTTCCCATGCAGCCTCCTGGGAATATTCTGCTTCACTTTACGATGGATGAACCGGCAGGGGACGCTACACGTCAAACTAAGCCGATCCGGTGTTCTTAATGTTATAACTACGTTCCCCCTCCGGTGGCTACACCCCACAAAGAGCTCAGGGGACAATCACGCGGTATTCTAGGAGTTCGGTGGCTCGTAGCACTCTCCGCGGATCATCATAAGAGAAAATGGAGTATATCGGCGGACCGGTGTTTAGACGCTCAGCGCCACTGCGTTGCGCAACTGGTACACTTCTATTTGCTCTCCAGATCTATAGGTGAAGCTTTAAGTATTTGTCAACACAGCAGAAACGCTCGAGAACAACCCGTCGATATCTTTAAAGCCGTAGCATTATCGGGCCAACCAACCTCACGAACTGTGTAAGCAAAAAATGTGTAAGTCGGTCAATCCGTAACCTCTAAACGATATTAAGAAAAACGACAATCGGTGCCGGGATTCGAACCCTGGTCACCGGAATCACCGGATTACCGGAAGTACTCATTACTGGTCTACACGTAACTGAAGTTTATTTAAGGAAAACTGAGCTGAACCACTAACGGCGACATAAACCGCTAACCGCCACATGTGACAGGAACTTCGTTCCGATTCAGGTTTAATATAAAACGTCTATTTAAAGCTTTGGTTCAGCTACAGATTGTTCCAAAATAACAGTTTTGATTAGCTTTTCGGCTCGTGTAGGCTTTGTTTTGACAGCCCGGTCAGAACAATACTGTGAAGTGATGCTAACAACCACGTAATGTTATATGAACGACGCAAGAGATATTACGCGGGAACAGGATCGTGGAAGGTTCGAGCATAAAGCCTTACATGATTTATGAATCTAAACGCGAGTATTAGATGCCACAAAGGTGACAGCTGAGACTCAAGTAAGAAGAAAGGCGCACTCACCAGCACGAGTAGAAGTGCTAGAGCGAGATGGAAAGAAAAGGACGAGGCCATGCTTTGTAGTCTGCAAGTGTCTGCTCTACACCTTGATGCAATATGTGCGTCTTATATGCGCTAGATATCACGTGTCATTCACCCGCTCGTCATCGACGTACTGTATCTGTCGAATAACGGACGATAAAGAAAATAGCATCAATTTGCATTGGAGAAATAATTGCAGCATCAGTTGTTTTTTTTTCTTACACAAAAGTTCGGAACAAAAAAAAAACGATCGCTTATCGGCGGTGATTAACCTCTCTGACAGGATCCCATATGAAGAAGGGTCAAGCTGATTCATTGCGTGTTAATTTGTACTAGTAAAATAGTTGGGCAAAGAGAAAAAGTAGCGAACAATTAATATATATATATATATATATATATATATATATATATATATATCAGTGTGTCGAACCGAAAAAAATACGGGTTCGGTTACGGTTCAGGTTCAGGTAAATTTATTTTGTTTCGGTTCAGTTCCGGTTCGATTCATTCGATCCGCGAACCGGTTCGGGGCGCTGAACCGGTTCGCGAACCGGTTCGGAAATTATAAATGACAAATTGCAACATCAAAATAAATTACAAATAAAACATCTGAAATCAGCACATACGAAACGGGATACATCGTAGTGTAAGGCTCAGAGATTTCTACCAGGAATGGTTTCTTTATGTGCACTCAAAGGTTACCTCACCGACGTTTACGTATTCGGACTTCATCTAATTGGGTCCGACGCAGTAGCTGTAAAATCCGCGACCTCCTTACAAACCCACTTACAAGCAGAACTCGCTAACTATCCCGCCACCTCGGCGTGTAAGCAATTGAAGGAACAGTGGGGAGAAAATACAGCTTTCTTTATTTGAACTAGCCTTCGGTAACTCAAATTAGACCCTTAAAGAAGTTTTCATTAAACAAGATACGGAATGTGAAAAACACTTCACCGAACGCAACGCCAGAAGGACGTAATAGGATAAATATTAAAATAGAAGAGTTCGCTGTCTCACAAATATGTTAGCTTCTAAGTGCCTATACGAAACCGGATGCATTATTATCAAACTCCACAGCCTTTTCTTTTCTCATTCCGACGGAAGCAAGCTTCAAGAACTCGCGCGTTCTAGAATGAGCACACAGCAGCATTTAGGATTTACGAGATTGTAGAAAAATGAAATCCCGTGACGCAATTTTTTTTTTTTTTGCACAGCCTTTTAATTTTTTTTCTTCCATGCAAGCCGCGACCAGTGCAATACTGGTTCCTATGTCAAGATTCATGGATGCAGCGTTTATATTCCTAAGACTGAGTGGAGAAGAAAATTATGTAAGCGAGGTGTGTGTCAGTTGACGGCACTTAAAAAACAAATGGCATTGATAGCACATTCATTGTCAACAACGCGTGGCCGAACCGTTTTGACATGAGCCGGTAAGCGTTATTTCTTTTCCGGTTCAGTTCCGGTTCGGGTTCATCGCGATAACAATATAACGGTTCGGGTTCGGGTTCAGTTCCGGAAAAAATACCGGTTCGGTTCCGGTTTTCGGTTCGGTTCGGTTCCGGTTCGACACCCTGATATATATATATATTGTTGTGGCTATTGACCACGCGACCAGATATATCTTTGTGGTAAACCTGCCCTTAAGAATGTGTTTTCAATACATATGCAAGAGCATTTAAGATGGTATATCAAATTAATACAATTTTATACAATAATATAATGCACAGCTTCTGGTACGTTAGTGAAAAAAAAATCACATAGGTTTTTTCTCTTAACGCTGGACGTAAAGAGTATAAAAATGTACCGAATTGGCAATCTGAAATGTTTTCACATGGGCCTGAATGAAGTTTAATTCAAACATGTTGAGCAGAAAGCTTCATGCATTTGTATTACGAAATGTTCGTTCTTAGTTATCCGGGTCTGCACCGGGGATATTTGTGGACACTTGGAAATAATAATCATAATACCATAAAAATATCACGAATCAAGAATCAGTTTATTTTGTGCCCAGAATGACCCGTTCTTCTTAATACTCGCCAAAAAAACAAATCACCTCCAAAGACATAAAGTGCAACATTAGGATGACCGAGCAATTAAGACATGTTCAAAATGGTGGATGTTGCCCAATAAAAACGAACAGTTCGAGAAACACAGGCGGGGGTGAGAGACACTGAGATGTCTGCAGCTACCGTAAGTGCAGAGTAGTTTTGACCGGGCATTGTAACCATTTAGGTATCAACTGTAGTGACCGTTTACTTCGCCCAGCCTGTAATGATTGCAGAAAGCAAAGAGTTCGTGTAATGCAGAAAGCAAAGAGTTCGTGTCAGTTACTTCGTTTGGAACCTTACCCAAATTGTTCTAAACCCTACACGAGGTGATTCTTTTATTGATTTTTTTCTTCACATCTGACCCCCATTGCACTTCCTCTTATCATATTCTTGAAGATATTGGCTACCAAAAGATTCTCCTTGTCGATTCAACATTTTCTCCGGCTCAGCGCGATGTCATAAAAAAGGCTAAAATTATTCTAAGGGCGACACCCACAAAGTGTTGTTCTCTTTTGGCTCTTTTTAAAAAAAAGTTCACTCTTTTTGACTAAATAGCTTGTTGCTTAGATCTTGGTTGCTCTTAAGAATAAAATCAATAAACTTTTTAAGTGCTGTATTTTGTTAGTTTTAATAAGAAAACATAACCAGCCCCTGGTTTAGTAACTGCAATTAAACGAATTCTGAACGGAAAGGAACTGTTATTTTCCGCAGCTAAGTCAAGGAATACTCCAAAAGCACGGTCTGATTACAACGAAACAGAACCGAATCAAATATAATATATAAAATTGTGTCTCATTTTCCTAATTACGACCTGACTAACTTGCTTCTAACCAACACTTGAAAGCTTAAACACGTGTTGCGGCCTAGAAACTCAAACCCCTTACCCATTATTGGTGACAGTGGTGGAACGTGCCACCCCATCACTTATCCATATTTAACTCGTTCTATAGTTCAGCGTTCACGGCCAAGTCATTCATACTACCGTTGGCGTCATCTCCTGCAGACACGCGCACTGATTACGTAGTATTCATAAGGTGCGGAATCGCAAGCGCCATCGAACACATGCGTGCTAAGTCAGCTTGTAGCGACGATAACATCTAAAACGTTTCCTAAAATTGCCAAAGATAAATGATATATTATCTTGTGCCGCCTTTTTCGAGCATCACATGATTCATCGTAGTTCCCCACAATTGGAAACGCTCAAACGTGATTCCCGTGTTTAAATTTGGATTCCGCAATAATCTTCCTAATTGCAGACTCATCTCTCTTACAAATAGCCCATGTAAAATATTCAAGCACGTCATCTACTCGCAAGGCATGAACTACCTCAATAACTTCAAATATCTTCACCCTCACCAACTTGACTTTCGGAACACTTTTTCTTGAGAAACTCAGCTATGTGAATTCGTATCATACGTGCATAATATCTCTTTTGACTCTTGTACTCAGGATGCCATTTTTATTGGTTCCGCTAAAGCATTTGATACTGCCCCTCATCATAGTTTACTCCTAAGCATTTCTGAACTAAACATAAATAGTGATGTCATCAGTTGGATTTTATCATTTCTTACTAATCGCAAGTAGTCTGTTTAAGTTTTTGTAAATGACACCTCATCTTCTCTAATTACTGTTAAACGTAGAGTTCCCCAGGTAAGTGTCATTGGACCGCTCTTTTTTCTCACTTACATAAATTATCTACCTTCCCTAATCTAGTCCTCTGTGACACATTTCTTTGATGATTGAGTTCTGTACCTCTAAATCTCTTACTCTAGTGTTTCAGAAATTTTTCAACGAGATATAATTGGGAGAAAGGCGCTTAAAAAGGCAAATAAATAATAATGTAGCTAAGACCAAGCTAAGTTATTTCATTTCTTATACACACAACGTTTTTTCTACTAGATTTTGTGAGCGTCATTTTCAGCTGCTCTCTCTTATAAGTACCTAGGTATCACTTTCACCGAAGATCTGAGTTGGAATGCTCACATTGTGGGATTCGCCCTTTTTGGGGGTGCCACTTAGAAACACAAAGGAGGTTCCTTGGCCGGAAATTGACCTGGTTCGCTATCTTAGCGAAAGGAGATGGATGCTGCTGTCTTTGCAGTCCACGGTAAGCCGCACGTTGGGGCGCCAGATGTGGGATTCGCCCTTTTGGGGGGTTACCACTTAGAAACACAAAGGTTCCATGGGTCCGGATAAAGACGTGTTTATTGACTGCAATGTCAGCACGCTTCGCTCTTAGACAATGAAAAGTCTGGGCGCTGGCTCAATTGCCAGTATCACCCGGTCGGTTTCCCGCGCTGCCGCATTAGACAGATTCACGGGAAGTCGGAGGCCCACAAAGAAAAACCGAGCTCCGTAGAGCCAGGGCCTCCGCCGACGAGAGCCCCTGGCCCACCTTCGGGGCCAGCTTATGTAGCCTCGGAGAATGGACGCGCCCGGGGAGGCCACTAGCAGTCGCGTCCATCATAGCTCTCAAGGGTGTGCCGAAGCCGCGTTCACCCAAATGGGCAAGGGAGAGCCGGCCCCTTCGGGGAATTCGGCCTCGTGGTTCCTTGTATCCGGGAGGCCGACGCCATTGGTGACGACGACTCCCACGGCCTGCTTGAAGCTAGGCCTGGATAGGGATAGAGGGAACCCAATGGTTCCCACACTCCCCCCTTCTCAAGGCTAAGGTAGGCCTAAAAATAAAATGGCCTACCGGCTCTCAAAAACAAAATAAAAAAAGGAAACGCTAGAGCGAAAGAGCATGCCGCGAAGAAAAACAAAGAAATAAAAAAACGATCAGCGCGGTACATGCTGAAAACTCTAGCTCGCTGCTTGACAGTGGACCCCGGGTGCAGCCGAACTCTGCAGCCCACGCTTCTTGGCAGGCTTACCGGGAGTAGCGTTGCAATGTCCGTGTAGTGGCCTGGCGTGTGCAGGAAGGACGGCCCGGACACTCCATGACGAAACGTTCGAAGGATCACAGAAAGTACGGCGGCTGGGCGTCTCTCCTGGGGGACGCACCAAGTGGCACGAGCACTGTCACTGGGTGCG